CGATCCATCATCATTATTATTATTGTCATTATTATTATTTTTTAAAGATTTTATTTATTTATTTGAGAGAGAGAGAATGAGAGACAGAGAGCACGAGAGGGAGGAGGGTCAGAGGGAGAAGCAGACCCCCCGCTGAGCAGGGAGCCTGATGTGGGACTCGATCCCAGGATTCCAGGATCATGACCTGAGCTGAAGGCAGTCGCTTAACCGACTGAGCCACCCAGGCGCCCATCATTGTCATTATTATTATCATGGAGCAATTGACAGGGAGTTAGGAGGCCCTGGTTCTGCTCTCCTCACTAGGGCTCTGTTTCTACGTTTGTAATAAAGGAAACAACAACATAGGGGTTTGGCAGCTTCATCTCTCCCCTCCTCCCCACTTTTTCCTGGCCACTGATCCGCGTTCATTTCCACAAACATGCTTCACTCTCCCTGATTTCCAATTTTGCACATGCCATTCCCTCCACCTGGAATGCTCTTCCCATCCCGTTTACCAGACTAACTGACCCCAGTTAAAAATGGTTAGACCCCACCGTTATGCATTCCCAAGGCATCCTAAATTTTATTTATTTATCTTGAGAGAGAGAGAGTGCAAGTGAGAAAGAGAGAGCACGAGCAGAGGGGAGGGGAGGGGCAGAGGGAGAGGGAGAAGCAGACTCCCCACTGAGCAGGGAGCCTGATGGGGGACTTGATCCCAGGACCCTAATAGGATCATGACCTGAGCAGAAGGCAGACGCTTAACCAACTGAGCCACCCAGGCGCCCTGTAGTACTGATAGTTTTTTCTTATTAGGGCAAAAAAAAAAAAAAAAGAAAGAAAGAAAGAATAAATAAATCCAGATAAGAATACTTTGGCTTATTGGCTTCAACTGTGTTGTTTCAGTAAAACAAAACATTCCAAATAAACTTAAAGTAGTTGAAGTTTCCTCTCCTCTCTCTTCTTCCTTCACTCTCCGTAGAGGAAACCATTGTGAATTTGGTGTTCATCTTTCTAGTCTGTATTTTTTAAAAATATTAATTAATTAATTTATTTATTTATTTGAGAGAGAGAGAGAGAACACAAGTGGGGAGGAGGGGCAGAGGGAGAAGCTGGCCCCCCGCTGAGCGGGGGTGGGGTGGGGTGGGCTCCATCCCAGGACCCTGGGATCATGACCTGAGCCAAAGCCAGACAGTTAGCTGACTGAGCCACCCAGGCGCCCCGCTAGTCTCTATTTTTAAACTTTTAATACCAATATACCCATAAGTATCTAGAGTACACTTTCGTACGTTTATAATTATACAAATTTTAACCTTTGAAAATATTTATCATTCTACAACTCTTATTTTTTGAAGATTTTATTTATTTTATTTGAGAGAGAGAACGTGAGTGAGAGAGAGAGCAGGAGCGGGGGGAGAGCGAGAGGGAGAAGCAGACGCCCCACTGAATAGGGAGCCTGATGTGGGGCTCGATCCCAGGACCCTGAGATCATGACCTGAGCCGAAGGCAGACGCTTAACCAACTGAGCCACCCAGGTGCCCTCCAACTCTCTTTTATTCATTCAACAGTAGGTTTGGGGATATTTTTATGTTGATATAGATCTGGACCATTAATTTTTATCACTGTATAGTATTTTTTAGAATATATTCCATTTTATTAATCCATCTCGTTATGAGTGGACATTTAGATTGTTTCTAGTATTTCCCATAATTATAAAGAATGTTGCAGTGAAAATCCTTGTACATATGACCTATGAACGAGGATGAGAATTTCTTTAGGGAGGAATGTCACCTTGCACATTAGCTCCAAAGTGATAGTCCCTGGGCTGTGCCTATAGGATATATGTCCAGTAGTGGAATCAGGTTGTAAGTTGTGTGCATTTTCAACTTTATGAGATATTGCAAATTGCCTCCTAAAGTGTGAGTCTACTGACAGTATATAAAGATTCAGTTTCCCTACATCCTCAAAAACACTTGACTTTGAACGTGTTTTTATTTTTGTCTAGGTGAGATGTATAAAATAATATTTTATAATTATTTTGATTTACATATCTTGATGTTCTTATTGGCTCTTTGAGTTTCTTTTGCTGAAAGTTCTTTATTCATATCCTTTGTCTATTTTTCTTTTCTTTGTGAGGTGGGGTAGTCTTTTTCTTAATAGTTTAGTTCTTTGAGTACTAGTCCTTTGTTATATACGTTGCACATATTGCCTCCTAGTCTGTAGCTTGTCTTTTAAATCTTTTTTTTTAAAAGGTTATTTATTTATTTATTTATTTGAGACAGAGAGAGAGCACATGAGAGTGGGGAGGGTCAGAGGGAGAAGCAGACTCTCCGCTGAGCAGGGAGCCCGATGCGGGACTCGATCTAGGGACTCCTGGATCATGACCTGAGTTGAAGGCAGTTGCTTAACCAACTGAGCCACCCAGGCGCCCTGTAGCTTGTCTTTTAATGATCTTATATATTTATTTATTTTAGAGAGAGAGCATGAGTGGGGGAAAGAGGTAGAGGGACAAGCAGACTCCCTGCCAAGCGGGGAGCCCGACCTGGGGCTCTATCCCAGGACCCCGAGATCACAACCTGAGCTGAAGTCAGAAGCTTAACTGACTGAACCTCCCAGGTGACTTATTTATTTGAGAGAGATAGAGAGAACAAGGCACAGGTGAGATCGTGAGGTGGGGGGAGGGGCAGAGGGGGAATTAGAGAGAGAGAATCTCAAGCAGACTCCACCAAGAGCAGAGCTGACTCTGGGCTCAATCCCATGACCCCAAGAGTCAGTCACTTAACCGACTGAGCCACCCAGGCACCCCACCCCCTTTTTAAACATTTTAATTATTTATTTATGTAGCTTGTCTTTTAATTGAACCTACAATGTCTTTCGTTGTATGGCAGTTCAGATTTTGAGAGAACCACAGATTAATTTTTTCCTCTATGAGTTGTGCTTTATTAAATCCTTGGGGTGCCTGGGTGGCTCAGTCGGTTAAGCATCTGTCTTCAGCTCAGGTCATGATCCCAGGGTCCTGGGATCAAGCCCCGCATCCATCTCTCTGCTCAGTGGAGAGCCTGCTTCTCCATTTCCCTCCGTCTGCCGCTCCACCTGCTTGTGCTCTCTCTGTCAAATAAATAAAATCTTAAAAAAGAAAGATAGAAACCCTTCCCCACCCTCGCATCATAAAATATTAGATATATATTTAAATATTTTTTCTAATAGCCTGAAATATTTGTCATATTTATTCTTTAACCTGCTTGAATTAGGCATCTATTTTTCACTCCTATGTAAAGTCAGTTTCTCAATGCCATTTACTGGTTTATGATGCCACTTCTATTGTACATAAAGTTAAAACACACACACACACCTGTATCTATTTCTAGGATCCCCATATTATTCCATTGATATTTGCCTCTCGGGTTGAGAAGGTCTCTCAAAAGTCCTTGTTGGATTTGAAAAAATACACATTTTTTTTTTAATAATTTTTTTATTGTTATGTTAACCACCATACATTACATCATTAGTTTTTGATGCAGTGTTCCATGATTCATTGTTTGTGCATAACACCCAGTGCTCCACGCAGAATGTGCCCTCTTTAATACCCATCACCAGGCTAACCCATCCCCCCACCCCCCTCCCCTCTAGAACCCTCAGTTTGTTTTCAGAGTCCATCGTCTCTAATGGTTCGTCTCCCCCTCTGACTTACTCCCCTTCATTCTTCCCCTCCTGCTATCTTCTTCTTCTTCTTCTTTTTTTTCTTAACATATATTGCATTATTTGTTTCAGAAGTACAGATCCATGATTCATCAGTCTTGTGCAATTCACAGTGCTCACCATAGCACATACCCTCCCCGATATCTATCACCCAGCCACCCAATCCCTCCCACCCTCCACCACTCCAGCAACCCTCAGTTTGTTTCCTGAGATTAAGAATTCCTCATATCAGTGAGGTCATATGATACATGTCTTTCTCTGACTGACTTATTTCACTCAGCATAACACCCTCCAGTTCCATCCACGTCGTTGCAAATGGCAAGATCTCATTCCTTTTGATGTCTGCATAAGAAAAAATACACATCTTTTTGATACTGAGTCTTCTTGTCCATGAACATGGTATATCCCTCTATTTATTCAGGCCTTCTTTAATATCCTTCAATGTTCTCTAATTTTTCCTATGAGAATATAAACTCCGCAAGGGCAGGTACTTGTTGGTTTTGTTCATTGCTGTATCCTCATAAAGTCAAGAATGAGGCATGCCATAAAGTAGAGGCTTAATAAGAATTTGTTGCTTAATAAAATGTCTTGCATTTATTTTATTAGATATATTCCTACATAACTTATATTTTGTTGCTATGAAACAAACAATTTTTTTAACAGCTTCTAATCAGCTATGGTTAGCATAGATCCCAGGGCAGTGGAGAAGGGAGGCAGGGAAAGGCAGAGAGCCAATACAGGGTGCAATGACGAATAAATTTCTACTTCAGGTTACATGTAGTGGAAAGACCGCATTGGATTTGTGTTCTTCACAAATTGGTGCTCTTCAACTGCAGTGCCAAGAATGAACTGGAATGGCTAGGGCAAGAATGGGCACTGGCAGACTGGTCAGGAGGCTACTACAGGAGTTGAGGTGAATCCTGGCATCAAGTTGGTGCCTAAGAATTAGAGAGTGGCCGAGAAAAAGCAGAATGACTGGCCGCGTTACCAACTAACCAAATGATAAGGCGACTTAGTGAGGGACCGAGTAAGGAAAACATTTACCAAAAGCTGAGCTTTTCAGTCTGAGCGCTCGTAGGTCCAGCGAAACGCAGCTGGAAGAGGCGCTGGGCAGCAGTGCCCTCCGAGGGCAGCCAGTCTCTGGCCGGGTGCGCCCCAGGGTCGCGGAAGCGAGGGGCTGGGAGAGAAAGGTGGAGCGAGTAAGGGGGTCTGGGCTGCCGCGGCGCGCAAAAGCTTTCAGCGGCTGGGATTGGACACTAGCCTGCGCACCGCGCGGAGAGGAGGGCCCTTGGCTCATCCAATCAGAGTGGCGAATCCGGGCGCCCTCCGTCGCCTTGGCAACGGGACGCGGAGGCTAGCGCTTGGCGCGGTGGCGGTTTGGGTCCGGCCCTGGGGAATCATAGCATGTCGCGCCCGAAGGTAGGAGTGCCGCGGGATCCAGATGCTTTCATCGTCCTTAGAGAAGGGTGGGAGGCCACAGAGGCATTCCGACTTGGGGGTCCCCGCGGAGTGATTCCGGATAGAGTGGGAGGAAAATGATGAATACAGAGAAAACACTTCAAGCCCCGGTTGGCCGCGCGCCGCTGGAGGCGCTGCGCGAGTCCACCACCCGGCTCGCTGGCGGGAAAGTTAACGAAAATCTGGGATTCTAAACTGTACTCAGCGATTTCTGTGACCCTGGGGGAACCTCAGAATTTTCGATTTCCTGACCTGGAAAAGCTCTTAGAGGTTACGCTCATCCCGCCTCTCGCTTGCCTACCCATCCATCCATTCCTAATACATTCATCCTAAAACGCTAATCAGTGCCTTCTTTAAACTGAGCCCAGTGCTGACCAATAAGGACACAGAGGTGAATCAGACAAGTCCCCGTCCTTTAAGAGTGCACGGGCCAACTCCCCCACTTTAAAATGGAAAAAAAATGCTACCCAAAGAAGGCAAATGAATTACTCTAGAATCCAGCACGCCCCCCCACTAGCCTGCTTCTTATCCCGTGCTCTACTTCTCATGAATTGGCACCCGCATTTCTTTAGTTCCCTCTCACAACAAAAAAACGAGTGATTCCATTGCGCCCACTCAGATAATCCAGGATAATCTATTTTAAAGTCAGTTGATTATATCTGCAACCTTAATTTTCCCTTGTTATGTAACGTATTTACAGGTTCTGGGATATTAAGACATGGACATCTTTTGGGGGAGCATTATTCTGTCTACCACAATATTCTATCATCAAATAATTGGAAAATGAAATTTTAAAAATATTATTTAAAATAGCATCACAAAATCAAATACCTATGAGTAAATTTAATTTAAAACGTCCCAGACTTCTGGAAAATATTGTGGAAAGAAATTAAAGAAGACTTAAATTAATGGAGAGATAGACCATATTCATGGATTGGAAGACTCAATACTTGATGATGTCACTTCTCAAAATCTATAGATTTAGTACAATCCCAATAAAATCCCAACACACATTTTTGGTAGAAACCAGCAAGCTGATTCTAAACTTTATATTGAAGTGCAAATGACCCCAAATTGCAAAGACAATCTTGAAAAAAACAAGGTTAGAGGACTTATAGTACCTGATTTCGAGATTTACTAGAAAGCTATTATAATTAAAATAGTGTGGTAGCTGGGGCACCCGGGTGGCTCAGTCATTGAGCATCTGCCTTCGGCTCAGGTCCTGATCCCAGGGTCCTGGGATCAAGCCCCGCATTGGGCTCCCTGCTCTGTGGGAAACCTGCTTCTCCCTCTCCCACTCCCCCTGCTTGTGTTCCCTCTCTCACTGTGTCTCTCTCTGTCAAATAAATAAATAAAATCTTAAAAAAAAAAAGTGTGGTAGCAACATAAGGGTAGACAAATAAATAAATAAAACAGAGTCTAGAGATAGACCTACATATACACAGTCAACTGAATTTTAACAGAAGAATCAATGCAATTCAGTGAGGACAGGAAAAGTTTTCCTATTCTTTTTTATTTTTTAAAGATTTTATTTATTTATTTGTCAGAGAGAGAGCACATGCAAGGGGAGCAGCAGGTAGAGGGAGAAACAGGCTCCCTGCTGAGCAAGGAGCCCGATGCAGGACTTGATCCCAAGACCCTGGGATCATGACCTGAGCTGAAGGTAGACACTTAACTGACTGAGCCACCCAGGTGCCCCAGGAAAAGTTTTTCAACCAAAGACTGGATAAACATAAGGAAAATAGAACTGAAAACATGAAAGAGTATAAAAGATATAATCAAAAAAGAAAAGGACACCTTACTAGTGCTGGGGTAGTTGGAGGGACTTAAATGTACTACTGGGATAAGAGTTCACGTGCTTACTGAGGGTTCTAGAGGGGAGGGTGGTGGGGGAATGGGTTAGCCTGGTGATGGGTGTTAAAGAGGGCACGTATTGAATGGAGCACTGGGTATTATACGCAAACAATGAATCATGGAACACTACATCAAAAACTAATGATGTAATGTATGGTGATTAACATAACATAATAAAATTAAATAAAAAAAGTTCTTGTGCTTTTGTAGGGGGCTAATTTCTGTCAGTTTCATAAAGTAGTATCCTCTATCCCTTCTACTGGCTCTTTGAGGGATAGGATGGTGTGGTAGGCAGAATTCTAGAAGGCCCCCAAGATTCCCACCGCTTGTGTACACACCTTGTATAATTCCCTCCCCTTGAGTCTGGGTAGAGCCTGTGAATTTGATGGGATAGTTACTACCATGATTATCTACCATGCATCATATAGGACTATTGTGGCTGACCTGGAGTGGGGAGGGTTGGAAGTCAGAGGGATGAGCTCCTGCTGGCCTGGAGGAAAGCAAACATCCATGTTGTGAACTGTCTAGGGGGCCATGTTGAAAGGAACTGCAGGGACCTCTAGTTGCTGAGAGCAGTCACCGGTCAAGAGCTAGCAAGTAAACAGGGGCCTCAGTCCTACAACCCCGAGCAACTGAACTCTGCCAACAATCTGGATGATCTTGGAAAAGGACCCCAAGCCCATGCATGAGAATCATAACCCAGGCCATCACCTTGGTTGTAGCCTTGTGAGACCTGGCCAGAAGATCCAGCTAAGCCATGCCCAGGCTCCTGGCCCACAGAAACTGCAAGACATAAATTTGTACTATTTTAAGCCACCAAGTTTGTGGTAATTTGTTATGCAGTAATAGAAAACTAATGCAGATGACAAGTCTGTCCAAGTTGCAGTGGTCATCCTGCACAAGACCAATTTTGATTTCTTTTTTCATACCTGCCATTAGGGATCAGTCTTACCAGGACTAAAGACCAAACTGTTTTAGACGTGGTAGAAGCAAAATAATACCCACCCCCCAACCCCCATTGAGGATTTGAAAGGTCCATTTTGGGTGAAGAAATTAACTTCACTCTGAGTTTTTGAACCATTCCCCTTCTGGACCATGGATCTAATCAAACATTCAAGTTTCAGTTCCTTCTCACAGAGCTGGCTGACCTCAGCCCTCAAAACTGGGGTTCAGGGTTGGACCTTTGGAGCACTGAAAACTAGGTATTCACTCTACTGGTCATGCCTGTGGAACAATCTTATGAAGTGGGGCGATTTGATACCTTGAATACTTGGTGGTTTATTCCAAGGACCAAGCTGCTGGGCACATGTTGACCAATGTGAACTTGGCCAGGCTGGTCCTTCACGCCTAAGGATCTGGGCAGTGTTGTGTCTGATGGTTTGAGCATTTTAATATCTGCAGTAAATTGAGCTGGGAAGGCAGGGTGGATATGCAGAACCAGTTACATCGTTTTTCTTTTCTCCTTGCAGAATCAAAATTACAAGGGCCATGGACTGTCAAAGGGAAAAGAGCGGTGAGTGGCCCCACGCAATCTAAAAAACACAGAACTAATTTCCTTCCTTCCTCCCTCCCTTCCTTCCGTCCTTCCTCCCCTTTATCCAGCTCCGCATCACTGAGCACTTACCATGTGCCAGGCTGTATTATCTCCTTGAGTCCATATCACAATCCTTTAAAGTAGATACTACTATTGGGTCCATTTTGCAAGTGGGGAAACTGAAGCTCAGAGAGGCTAGGGAACTCGCTCACGACTGTAGGATCAGTTAGTGGCAGAGCTTGCTGGGCTCCAGGGCCCATGTTGCATCTACCTATGCCCTCCTGCCTCCTTCAACAACCATGTGATGACTTGATAACTCCAATGTCAACTCTGCCCCGATCCTCTGCTTCCCTCTGCGGCAGTAACCCAGGTGCAGAACTCAGCACCTCGTCGGATCCCCTAAATGGAATCCACTCGCACAGAGCAGGAGGGAGCAATGCAGACTGGACTGACGTTTTTTGTGGGGAGTCAGAGGAGGTTACATCACACACGCTGTAGCACATATTTTAGATATTTCTATTCTATTTCATTAGATATTTCTCTGCTTTCTAAAGTTGCTTCTGGCTGCACCACCACCGAGGAGGGCACGTGTGGTCTCTGACCCTTCCGTCGTGCGGCACCCATCAGAGCAACGCAGCGCTATTCTAGACGCTGACCCTAAACTTAAACACCCACTCCCGCCCCAACCAAAAAAAGGGCACTTCAGTTAACAGGATCTGTTTTATTAGGATAGACACGTAGGAAACCCAACTAATAGCAGCTTTAAAAAATTTGTATTAACTTTCCTCATGTAACAAAGAGCCTGGAGGGCTGGTGCAGTGGTTCAACTCAGTCAGAGTTGTGTCTCCGTGACGGTCTTGACCTTTTCCCTATGGGCACCAAGTAGCTGCTATAGCTCCAGCCTTCGTGGCGAGATCAAGACGGGAAGAAGTGGGGGAGGAAGTCTCAAGCCACATCTCTTTCTCTCTTTATTTTAATCAAAAGAACCCATGCTTTCCAAGAACGCACCCTCTTTAGCAATCGTATGTTTTTAATCTTACTGACCGGAATTGTGTGACATGGACCCCCCAGGCTGCATGAGGCTAGGACTATAAGTTACGTGGGTGAACGTTATACTATTATTATTCGGCGTGCTGCTTATGTCACACAAGGCTGTATTTTCAGTATTTATCCGTGTTGGTGCATGTAGATCTGGATACATTTTAACTACTATATGTGTTCCATTGTATACCACTAGTTATTTATCTACTTCCTGTTGAAAGGCCTTTAGGTTGTGTCTTAGTATTGAGTCCCTCCAGAAGCAGACCCTGAGCAGTTTATTTGGAAGGTTGGAAGGTGATTCCAGTAAGCATTGGCAGGGAAGTGGGGACGTGAGACAGCTAAGGGAGAGAAACCAATAAAAGGCGCATTACTGACAGGTTATTGCGGTGGGCAGGTGGGCTCAGTCCCACGGGGGATTCCTAGGAGATAGTGCAAAACACACTGCATACTCATCCCAACTGAGTGATGAGGGGCTGGAAGATTTATCCGTCAACTCCAGTTGTCATTAGTTGTGTGCTGTTGGGGAAGGGGCACTTTGGATTTGCTTTAAGCACTGGCTGAGCAGACTCTGGGGACCAGAAAAAGCCCTCAGGCAAAGAGCTGCAGGTGCTGGCAATGGAAGACCCTCTGATCGACTTGCACAGGAATGGAGAATGCCTAGGGGACAAGGGTGGACCACCAACTGTGTGCTGCAGGTTGTTTCTATCAAAAATATTAATAGTTACAAAACGAGCATCCCTGTACATATAATGCCCAGTTGCATATGTAGGGTATCTATCTAGAGTATAGAGCTAGGATGGAACTGCTGGGTCTAGAGTCTGTGCAAATTCAATTTTACTAAGTACTGCCATGTGGTTCTCTGGAGTGCCTTCTACCAGCACAGCAAGAGTTTCCAGTTTTAGCACATTGTTGCCAAACTTGGACTTTTAGATTTTTGCCAGTCTAATGTGTATGGATAGTACCTGACAGTTTTAATATGCCAAATTGCTCTCTAAAGATTTATCCAATTGACAGTTCCATCAGCATTATAGGGTAATTATCATTTCCACGTTCTTGCGAACACTTGGTGTTTGTCTGATTTTAAACATTTCCCCCAATCTGATGGATTTTGAAATTGTATCTCTTCATTGTTTTGGATTAAATTTTAAATACTCCTGACTTGACTACTTTAGAGCAGTGGTTCTTAAAATTTGAGCTCAAGATCTCTTTACTACTAAAAAATTATTGTGGACTCTTACTAATTTTTGTGTGGCTTGTATTTATCAATATCATATTAGAAATTTAAAATGATAAAATAAAAATATTTATTAATTCATTTAAAAAGCAACAAGGTACTCTACCTGGTAGCATAAATAATGTATTTTTTATGAACTTATAACTGTGTTCTCCCTCCTGCATTACTAAGATGAGTAGTCATTGTTTTTACATTTTTGTGAATTTCCTTAATGTCTGGCACAATATAAAACATTTGGCTTCCTAAATCTTCTGGATTCAATCTGTTGTGATATGTTGTTTCAGTTGAAGAATAGGAAGAAAATCCAGCCTCACAAAGATATGTAGTTGGGAAAGGGAGGCCTTTGTGAACCCCTGAAGACCCCGAGGAGTACTGGGACCACCCATCAAGAGCTGCTATTCTACGGCATTACAATATGCACCCTTAACTCATCACTGTCTACACTGAATCAATATTATACCACTTCCCGCACAACCTAAGAACCCTAGAACAGCATGCTCTGTTTACTCCCCTCTGGTCCTTTGTGCTGTTATTTTTGTCATATATTTAAACACTGAAGAAAGTTCTTTAAGCTGAAGGAAAATTATACCAGATGGAGATTCAGACCTACAAAAGGAATAATGTGTGGAGAGAGGGAAAGAGAGACTGATTTTCTAGAGACTGTAAGCCCTTTCCTCTGACTAGTGGTTAGGTTGGGGGCTAATCATTGGGTTCCTCCTAAAGCTGAGTAGAACATGGGCTGGACTGAAGCTTTAATTACGCTGAGTTCGCTCCAAGCCCAGCCTCCTGTACTGCTGTTTTGATCTTTTGCCCTGGGAGGGGGCTGGACGGCCGTTCGGTTTTTGTTTGTTTGTTTATGGTTTTTTGGATCACTTTTGGATTCAACTCTGGCAGGGCTGCCCAGATACACACACCACATCAAAGTGCAGGAATATGGGTTTTCTTTCTGCTTTACTGTGTTCTCTACTGCTTCTTTCTTAAGCAAATTTGCCACAATGTTGTTTTGGTTTGGTTTGGTTTGGCTTGGCTTGGTTTGGTTTTGGAAGGGGTTTTTCCAGATTTTGATTTGGCTGGCCACCTTAGTATTGTCTAAGCTCAGCTGCTTTCCCCTGGTGCCTGCAAAGTCTCGCCTCCACGGCTGGCTCATTCCTCCACTTGCCCGCACTCAGACACACCCCCCCCCCCAGACCTAGAAACTGAGGCATCTCTCTGCTCCCCAGCGAAGGGCTCGTTTCTCTCTGGAATCATTTGGTCACGTTTCCTTTTGTCCATTGTTCTCCACTAGCCCCATAGTCAAATGTGATATTTATTTTGTACATTTTTTTCCCCTTGTTGTTTTACATCCTTTTATGTTGTAACCTGTAGCAGAAATCTTCTCCTTGGTATTTTAGTTTACTGTGTTGTTGGGAAGGTTGAGTATCTTTTCACATGCATACTGGTAAGTTTCCTCTGCTGTGACTTGCCTGTTCATATCCCCTAGGCATTTTTTTTTCCGTAGGCATTTTTCTATTGAGTTCTTTGTCTTTTTCTTAATGATTTGTAGGAGCTCTTTTTGTACTTGGTCCTAATGGCTTATGGATTGTAAGCATTGCAAATATTTCATCTTAATCTATAGCCAGTCTTTTAACTTTATTTGTGGTATATTTTGTTACAGAGTTCTGTTGTGTATACAGAAAGGTGCATACATCATAAGTTTACAGCTCATGAATTTTCATCAACTTAATATGCAGGAAACAGAACAGCACCAACACTCCAGAATGCCATTCATACTCTCTTCCAATCGTTCCCCCACAAAAGTAGCCATTATCCAGACTTCTAAAGATATGTTACGTTTTTTATTTATTTTTATTTTTTATTTTTTTAAAGATTTTATTTATTTATTTGACAGAGAGAGACACACAGCGAGAGAGGGAACACAAGCAGGGGGAGTGGGAGAGGGAGAAGCAGTCCTCCCGCGGAGCAGGGAGCCCGACGAGGGACTCGATCCCAGGACCCCGGGATCATGACCTTAGCGGAAGGCAGACGCTTAACCGACTGAGCCACCCAGGTGTCCCCCAGTTTGTGGCTATTATTAATAAAGCTGCTACGAACATCCCTATACAGGGTTTTGTGTGATCCTGAGCAAGCGTTCCGTTGCTTTGTCTTGCAGAGAGCAGAGAGCGTCAATCCGGTTCAAGACCGCTCTCGTAAACACTCTCATGGACGTCCTTCGCCGCAGGCCAGGATGGGTGGAAGTAAAGGAGTAAGACGCCTCCCACCCTGCCAGCCTCGCCCCTTCTTCCCTTTGCCTCACAGATCCTTGTCTCCCTCTGTTTTCTCCCAGTTGCCTTGGGTGGCTACTGGGACTTGTCCCAACTTGGCCGTGATAGGGACCAAGATTTATTTAGCACTCAAAATGTGCCAGGCGCCTTACGGACACCCTCTGTCTTATTTAAGCCTTACAACCATCCAGCAAGATAGGATTATGTTCAGAGGTATTAAGCCCATCGTTGAAGGTCATACAGCATGTAAGGGTCAAAGTGGGGTTCGCACCCAGTTCAGCTGGACTGTTCCATAGCCAGTGTCCTAGAGCTCTCCGGAAAATCAAGGAATGCAGCCATCACCCACTAGCTGGCTTGAATCCTCCACTGATGGCAGGTCCAGGTCAAGGGCTGCTTTTCCCTGGCCACTTACTGGTTCTGTGACCTTGAACAACTTACTTGACCCCAAGCCTACATTTCTTCTTCTATGCTGAGCCCTGGGGATACTAAGATGAACAAGCATCCAATGCCCAGCACATAGTAGGTGCTAATATAAGTTAGGGTTAAGGTTTGGATGCATGTAACAGAGACCCAAAGTAAAAGAGGCTTTGACAGACTAGAAGTTTCTTTATCTCTCCCATTGAAGTCCAGATATAGGAAGTTCAGAGATGGTATAGAAATCTGGATCCATCCGCTTCCATCTTTCCATTCTGCTATCACTTGAGTGAGGCCCTTGTCTTCACGGTCTAAGGTGAAGCTCCAGCTTTACATCCAGAGTCCAAGCCACAGTCGGTAGGAAGGAGGCAAGAAAATGCATGCCCTGCCCTTGAAGAACTCAGCCTAGAAGTGTCTCACATTGGCCAGAACTTAGCTTAGCTGCAAGAGAATCTGGAAAATGTAGTCTTCATTTTGGAGAACTCAGATGACGTTTTCCCAGGTAAATGTCGGGAATTCTGGTACTGTAGAAAAAGGTGAAAATAGATATGAGGGTTGAGGGCAACCAGCTGCCTTGACATGGTGCTCGGGGAATATTGTTGCCTAACAGTAGCTAAGCCTGTTGGACACTCTTGAGCACTTTACATGCACGACCTCTGAATCATTGAGCAGACCTTCTGGGAGGTGCTGTTATCATACCCATTTACTGAAAGTGGGAAAGCTGGATGCAGAAGAGTAAAAACTGCCGTGTTTGAGGCCACTCGACTTGTCAGGGCTTGGGCTAGGACGGCACCTGGTCAGTCTGTGTGCAGAGACCCAGGCTCGTCTCTACCCTGTTCTCGCAGCCTCTCCGTGAATGAGGGAACAAGTAAGTGAATGGGGGAATCCATGGTTCCCACTGCCTGGTACTGGAGTCTAGTCTCATCCACACGGGGCTTCAGTTACAGTTGTAGTTTTGTACTTAAGAAGGAGTTGGAAGCAGTCATGGCGGCCTTGTTTTATTTCCCGCCACGTAGTTTGCAAGCGCTTCCTCTTGGCCCCACAGCTGTGCCATCAGACTGGGGAGATTAGCCTGCTTTCTTGTCCCTCTCCTTAGTGTGGTGGTGAAGAAGCAGGTTGGAATTTGGAGCCGGGCAGCCCTGGGTAGGAAACCTGGTGCTGCCAGGGCCTTGGTGAACAGGGTCATCTTTGTCTGGGGGCTCCAGGGATGATTGTTGTCACCTTTTGAGGCTGCTCTGAGGAGTCAGCGGGAGGAGGGCTTTTGGGAAGGGGGGGTGGGCAACAGAGATGCTTCCAGCATCCAGGCAGGTAGCATGACCAGGTGAGGCTGGCTGGTTGTCTTGGGCCATGGGGGGCATTGGGGACTGTGACCTGGCGGGGGCGTCCCTGTCTAACTTGGTGGCAGCTCCTCCCTCCAGCTGACAGGTGCCAGGGGGCGTCAGGGCTCCATGCGACTGCTCTGCTGGCTGTTCAGAGGAGGCCAGCAGCCTGGATTTGTGCAGGGACATCTCTCTGGTTTTCACTCCGGCCTCACAGAGCCCATTGTGGGCAGCCACCGCCCGAAGACTCCTCTTGAACACACTGCTGCCTGCCCCCTCTCGGCTGCACCTCCCTGGGCCCCAGACCCCCGGCAGTGCTGAGGGCCTCGGGTCGTGACCTTTGTCCCCCCCCCCCGCCCCCTGCAGTGAAGGGGAATGGGATTTCTACTGGTGTGACGTCAGCTGGCTCCGGGAGAACTTTGACCACACCTACATGGACGAGCACGTGCGCATCAGTCACTTCCGAAACCACTACGAGGTGAGCTGGGGCAGCCGGGGCACTGAGTGGGCCAATTCGTGTCACTGGATGTGGCAATGAGCAGGTGTGGGAGTGCAAGGACCAGCATGGAAAAGTGGAAGAGAATGTGGGGCACGTGACAGGTGGGGAACATGTGCACAAGATACACGAGGAGCTAAAGAGTGTGAGAGAGTGAGGATCTGGTACCTGAACGACAGGCTGCCTTGGGGTGGGGACTGAGGTCACAGTCTGGTTGGCATTTCAGCACTGGAGATGGGTGGGGCAAGGGCCGGAGGAGCAGGATGTTCGAGCCGTATGGTGACTTCAGGGGAGAGGCTTGAGCAATTGGGAGTCTAGAGATGGGAGGGAGGTCCGGGGGGAACCAGACCACAAAGATGGGACCGGAGGAGCCAACAATGCTGAGATTTGAAAAGGTTAGTGCAGCTTAGCAGTTAGAAACATGAACTTGGGAGTCAGACAGGCCCGGGTCAAATCCCGGCAGTGCCTCTGTTAGCTGGGTGACTCTGGGCAGCTGACTTAACCTTTCTGAGCCTTGGTTTTCTGGCCTGTAGAGTGGGGATCACTATAGAACAACAGGCTCTCAGAGTTACTCTCACCATGACTGTTACTTGGCGCGCCCGAGGCTGTGGGGGCAAGCTGGGTGGTTGGGGCTGGGAGCTGGAGCAGGACAGTGGAAACAAGCACTAACGGCCTGCTCGCCCACCTGCTGCCCAGCTGACGCGCAAGAACTACATGGTGAAGAACCTGAAGCGGTTCCGGAAACAATTGGAGCGCGAGGCCGGAAAGCTGGAGGCAGCCAAGTGCGACTTCTTCCCCAAAACCTTTGAGATGCCATGCGAGTACCACCTGTTCGTGGAGGAGTTCCGCAAAAACCCGGGAATCACCTGGATCATGAAGCCTGTGCGTGCCCAGTGCCGGGAGCAGGGGGAGGGGGCGGTGGGAGGGAGGGCTTCCCGGGCACCAGACAGAGCAGGGATCCCTCGCGGCACATCCCAGGACAAAATTCTGCCTGGCAATTCAGCCTCAGATGCACCATCCGCCTCCCCCAAGCCCCCGAGGGCTGACTTCGTTTCCTCCTCGCAGTGTGTGGACCCAGCAGCTATGACAGCACACAGTAGGTGCTCAATGCGTGTTTCCTAGCTGAACGAGTGATCCTCAGGACACCAGGGCAGGGAATCCCAAGGCTTGCTGGAGCTCAGATCTCCCCTCTCTTCCTGACAGGAGAGGAACCGGTGGCGGCCAAGCCGTGCCGAGCACTTTACCTGCGCTGCCCGGTTCTCAGGATGGCCCTTGGGAGGAGCTATGACCTCATTTTAAAGATGAGGAGACTGAGACCCATGTATTCAGACATTCCATAAATACTCGCTGAGCACTTGCCATGTGCCAGGCATAGACCTAGGCGCTGGGGACGCAGCCCTCAGCGAGTCGGAAGTGGGTCTCCGCCTTCCTTGGGCGCAGACAATACAGAGGACACCTGCGTGCATGCGTGGAGCTGTGCTAAATGTAGAGAGGAAACAGTAGGAGGCTCCCCGCTGCCCGGCAGGCTTTTCTGAAGGGAGACTGGGCTCCGAGGCCAAACCCCTTCCTTCAAATACTGCCTGTACCACTTACTAGCTGTGTGACCTCAGGCAGACTATTTAACTTCTCTGTGCCCCAGTTTTCCCATCTGCAAAGTGAGATGGCAGTACCTGTCTCATAATGCTGTTGTGTGACTGAGTTACCACAGGCAGAGCACAACATGAAGCACTCCGTAAGGGACCGCTGCTGTTGTTGCTATTGTTATCAAAAGAATTAGTACTGGCTGTGGGCTGAAGGATGCAGAGGGTCAGCCTGGAGAAGGGCAGAGGTAGGGAAGAGCATTCCAGGAAGAGGGAACTGCATGCACGAAGGCCTTGCATCCAGAGGTAGTCCTTCAGGGATCCAGAAACTGAGTGGAGGACACAGGTGGCAGAGTACCCACCAGCCCCTCGGTTCTTCCTCGTGCCAGGGCTGCTTTCTCACCGCAAAGCCACCAGAGCCTTGAATGGGCATCAGCAAAGCCCCCTACTATTTCCCAGGCTTGGGAATGTGCCAGGCCCCAGGAAGGGAGCTGTGGGGAGCAGAGTACAGAGCAGCCCTTCCTTGTGCAGCTGGGGACAAGGGCCGGTGTTGGCCAATGCACAGTCAGTAGCACAGGTGCTCGGAAGGCAGACGAAAACCACGGATGCTCCCAACTGGGTCCCAGGCAGTGTTTACCGCTCCCAACTGGGTCCCAGGCAGCGTTTACCGGGGCCTCCTGCTCCTGTCCCTGGTGAGGCCTGCTGGGAGGCTTGCATCCCCTTCTCTGCAGCTAGAGCAGAAGGGGTTAGGCAGCCGAGAACTGCAACCCATGGGGCGGTTCCAGCTCCCAGCGTTATCCTCCCAGACAAATGGTAATTTGTGCTAATTGGAAAGAGCAATCGCATATTAAGTTGATTCCTTTCCCAGCCCACGGCCTTTGTTAGAGGCAGACACAAGACGGCTGTAATTAAGAGGCGGCATCTTGGCTGCGTGCGTGCATTCTTGCCCCTGCAGAGCTGCAACACCCTGTCTGGGGTATGGGGTGCGGAGAGTGGGTGCTCTGGGCTTTAACTCTGTCCCCGATGCTTATGAGCCGGCTGACCCCAAGCAGGTTTCAGCCCCTCTAAGTCTGCATCCTCATTGTAGGTAAAGTGGAATTAACAAGTGTACCTACCTGCCAGGGTCGGGAGAGAATCCAATGAAGGATAACATGTTATATACGTGAGTTATACAAGTTATATAAAGGGCTTGGCACTTAGGTGTCCAGTCATTGACCATCTTTGCTGTGATTTCCAAGAGTCCAGGCAACACCTTCTCTCCCCCTGCCCCTGGAAAGCACTAGGTCAGTGCTTCCCAAACCCACCATGTGCCCACAATCAACGGGCATCTTGTTCAAGGCAGAGGCTGATTCAGCAGGTCTGCGTAGGGCCTGAGAGTCCGCATTTCTAACCAGCTCCCAGGTGAGGCCTTTGCCGCAGGTCCGTGGACCACACTTTGAGGACTGAGACTGTAGACGAGTAATTCTCAAACCTGAGAGTGCATCAGAATTTTCTGGAGAGCTTATTAAAGCCCCTCCTTCATCCCTCAGTGTCTGATTCAGTAGGCCTGGGGTGGGGGCTAAGAATTGCGTTTCTAGCAAGGTCCCAGATATAGCAGCCAGGGTTCTCCGGAGCGACAGAACTGTGAACCACTGGGCTAGAGTATTAGGTGGTGCAAAATCAGTCGACAAGTCCTGTTGTTTGGATTCCTTTGGGGTAGGGAAAATGTAAAAAACAAACAAAACAAAAAAATAGGACGTTACTTCAAACTTAGAAAATAAAGGGAAAAAATCCCAAATCCCTCCACTCTTCCCACAAGGCCTGTCTCTGTGAGACGGGCTGTCCTTGCACACCCACACACACGAGTTTTCACATAGTTGCTGTGGTGGGGCCAGTGAAGGCAGCCACTGGCCTGTCTTTTCCCTCCGGCGCCTCCTCTGCACCGTCCCCTAGAGCCTGCTGAGTCTGCATCTTCCTCTTTAGTGGAAGCAGAGCAGGGGCAATGAGGGAGTGAGTTGGACTCAGAAAGGAATAAGCAGCATCGTCCCCTCCACGCCACCCTCAGGGACCCCTCTTCCCACGGAGCCTGAGCCCCAGCCCATCTCGGAGCTTTGCTATCACTCTGAGTGTAAGAACAAGCCCCTGGGTTTGCCATTTAAAAGCCCCGGTGATGTAAAAATTGCATCGATCCAAACTTCTTTTCTATCTGACCATTCTCCCCTCCCACCAGCTCAGGCCCTTTGGGTGGGCGGGAGGTTGGCAGGACCCAGACCATGGGACCATGCTTGCTTGTCTAGCCTCCCTCACGTGGCTGGGGGGCAGGTGCTGGCTGTCAGGGCCCGGGCCTGTCCATCAGTCCTGGGGCCTGTCCATCAGTCCCTCTGTGTCTGCAGATCTGGTTTAACATTTCACTCAAGGCCGTAAGCATCCAGGGCAACCACTAGGCTGCTCCCAGCTCTGGGGGCCTCTGTCCAAATTGCAGGACGGGAAGAATAGAATTTTACCTTCTGTTTCTCAAGTTTACCCCACCAGAGCTTCTCAGACCTTTTCACTGCAATCTTCAAAGAGTCGGGGGGTGCTTTGGGCAGCACATAACAGAAGCCCCGACTAATGGGAGCTCAAACAAGAGGGCAGGGGCTCATCTTGGGTCTCTTGGGCATCTGGCGAAAATCGTGTTTCACACTGTCACAAAAGAGTGTTTTTAAAAGGATAAAGTAATTTGATTATAAAAGGAAGCAACTATATTGAAAAACAGTTATCAAACAAACAGTTAGTGGGTCCTCTGAGAAACAGACGCCAAGGCAAGATCGAATGTGCGGGGAGTTTTGCCTGTAAGGAATGGGGGGAGGGAATGGGACAGGGGCTAGGACGGTTGTCAGACCCAGTGAGGGAGAGAGGGAAGGAAGAGAAGCCCCTAGAGGCCTGGGGGAGGCCTCCGGCCAGAGGAGGCCCCTGTCTCCCAGGAGTGGGCCAGGCTTCCTGTCCCCGCCGTCCTCGGTCAGCTGGTCTGTGGCAGGAGAAGCGCCTGCAGGCGGGGCCAGGCGGGCACTGCACCACTGGCGGCCAGTCCGGCAGTCAGCATGGTCCTGCCGTTAGAGACCAGCTGGAGCCTCGCACGACCGCCGCACGCACTATGAAACGTTCTTGATGCCGTAGAAGTTTCATTCACAGCTGAAGAGAGTCTAATAGCAGGCCCATAGTTACCATAATTTCAAAGTCATAATGAGCATAAACAATATTTTGAGATATCTGCAACCACCGTAATGTGACATAAAAATAACTGAGATTTCTTCTGAAAGTAAAGTCACAGGCGTGGCTACTACTACTACGGTATGTTGTCCGCATTCATAATGGAAGGCAATGGGAAAATCTGGTTAGGATGAAAAATGTTCTTCTCATTCAAGTTTACGGACGCCAGGACATTTCCTTTAATCATGAAAGGCCAGTTCCAGGAACGACTCAACAACCTTGGTGGGCAGCTCAACAGCATCATCAATTCCCACCCCAGTGGGCTGGCTTCTCTTCTCAGTCACAGCGCGGCTGCCACACCTTTAGCTTCGCCTCCTCACCCCTCCACCTGCCGCAGGAATAAACGAACACCCTGGTCTTGTGTCCCTTTTGAAGAAGACACGAACTTCCCAGAGGTCACTGCCGCAGACCTCCCCTGGTACCTGCTGGCCCGTGCCCGAACCAGTCACGTGGCGGCAGGGGCGTGGGAGCCCCGGGAGGGCTCAGACTCCCAGGGGGGCAGGACCACCGGGAAGAGGTGATCCAGATGGGGTTCTTCTGGGGGCGCCTGGCTGGCTCAGTTGGTAGAGCATGTGATTCTTGATCTCAAGGTTGTGAGTTTGAGACCCACGCTGGGGGTAGAGCTTACATTAAACAAACAACAAGAAAAAAACAAATGGGGTTTTGTTGGCAGAGAAAAAGGGAATTTTTTCCCTGCTCAGGGTAGCTGAGTAGACCACCAACCCCATGGGTAACACCCAGTGAATGCCACGTGATGAATGGCCCCCAGGGGCAGGACAGGCAGTGGCAGCAGCGGGTCAAGGGCCCTGGGTGGCCGCAGGTGGTGCAAAATCAAAGTATGGCTCATTCTCATAATCCATTCATATTATTTTCCAATTGATTTATCTTTTTAGAAAAATAATATGTTTTACTTCCAAATTATCAAGTAAGATCAATACTCCCAGGAGTCGACCATGTCTGTCGTGTGATTCTGTGTCCTCCCTGGCACTTTGCAGGAGGTGCATGAGCCTCAGGCTTGTGAAGCACAGTTTTAACTACCTGGGTTTGTCACCTGCTGGTTGGGTAACCTTGAACAGAGTGCTTGGCCTTGTTCCTTGGTTTCCTTGGCTGCAAAACGGGGATAGTATTAATGCCTACGTAGAGGATTTTTTGGTAAAGCTTTCACGAGGTAAGGTGCGTAAATCTTGGTGCCTGGCGTGTAGGAAACATCTGCTGTTGTTATAAACCATTCCCCTAATGTTAGTGTCCGTGTTCTATTGCTGCACCCCAAAACTCAGTGGCTGGAAACAAAAGTCATGTCTTATTTGACCCCTGAGCCTCCAATTTGGGCAACACTTGCCAAGGAAGACTCCTGGCTGCTCCAGCGTCTACTGGGACGGCTCCCATGAGGGCTGGAGGATTTGCTTCCAAGCTGGCTCACTCACTCGGCTGGCAAGTCGGTGCTGGCTGCTGGCTGGGAGCTCAGCCAGGGTGGAGGGCTGGAAGACTCAGTTGCCTTCCGTGTGGGCCTCTCCATACGACCTGAGCTTCCTCCCAGCATGGTGGCTGGGTTCCAAGGGCAACCATCCCCCAAAGAGAAAGCTGTATGGACGCTGTATTGCCTTGGATGACCCAGCATTGGAATCCACACAACATCACTCCTGCCATCTGCGATCAGTAGAGACAGTCCTAAATGCTCGCCCAGATTCAAGGGGAGGGCACATCGACTTCACCTCTTCGTGGAGGGTGGGGTGATGGGGGTAGCAAGGTTCCGGAAAAACATATGGGACTGGAAATATTTTTGTGACTCTTTTTGCAAACTACAATCTGCTGGAGCTAGATAGTAGGTGATTTCCCAGTCTTAAAAACCCTGATATATCTATCACCAAGCAGGAAGTTTATTTTCCACTCTTGAGGATTATTCCCTTAGAAAGGCATCTCCTGGAACAGGCATGTTTGCTAACATACTAACAATGTTTTATTTTTTTTATTTTTTATTTTTTAAAATATTTTATTTATTTATTTGACAGAGAGACAGTGAGAGAGGGAACACAAGCAGGGGGGGTGGGAGAGGGAGAAGCAGGCTTCCCGTGGAGCAGGGAGCCCGATGCGGGGCTCGATCCCAGGACCCTGGGATCACGACCTGAGCCGAAGGCAGCCGCTCAATGACTGAGCCACCCAGGCGCCCCACTAACAATGCTTTAAACAACAAAGGCGTTTTATTACCTCCTCTAACAAGAAAGCCAGAGGTAGGAAGTTCCAGGTTTGGGGATGGGCTCAATGATCCCGTTAAAAGCCCTCCGTGTGTTGGTTTTCTGCCATCAGATGTGTTGCTGTGTCACACCATGTGTGACAACTGTAGACCTCACCTCCTCAGACTGTAGCATTCAGAGAGAGAAGGAAAGGAGCCAGGCATCTCTTCGTCTCTCTCTCTCCCTCCAGCTCTGGCTCCCTCCCTGCCTCCCTCTCTCCTCCTCCTCCTTGATCCTGATATTTTTAACAAGGAAGAAAGTCACTCTTAGAAGCCCCAAAGCCCTAAGCAGACGTCTCTGTAGGTCTCGTTGGCCAGAACTAGTCATGTGGTTCCCAAGAGCTGCAAGAGAGGCTGACAGAACAGGTGTGCGGTCCTCCCAGCCTCCGTGTGAGAGGTTGGCTCTGCGGCCAGAGAGAGGGAAGGGAATGACTGTAGGGAAGGCAGCCCACGAGGGTGGGGGTGGGGGCTCCCAGATCAAAAGGCAGGAGGCTTGGGGCACCTGGGTGGCTCAGATGGTTAGGCATCTGCCTTCAGCTCGGGTCATGATCCCAGGGTCCTGGGATCAAGCCCCGCGACGGGCTCCTTGCTCAGCAGGAAGCCTGCCTCTCCCCCTCCTCATGCTCTCTCTCTTTCTCTCTCTCTCTCTTTCTCTGTATCTCTGTGTCTCAAATGAATAAATTTTAAAAAAATCTTAAAACCAAAAAAACAAAAGGCAGGAGCCTTAATAAAACTTCTCAATTGAAGTTTAGTAAACAGAATATGCCCGAGTTATGGGGGCGCAGCTTGGTAAATTTTCTGGAGGTGAGCACACTTGAGTAACAAGCACCCAGGCCATAGACAGAGCTGGCCGGCCCCTGGGCAGCACCCCCAGACCCTCTCCCACTCACTAGCCCTCTAGGCCCTAACAGCATAGACGCATCTGTCTGCCTTTGTACTTGATATCATGGGAATCATGAGATACTGCTGCGCTGCGTCTGGTTGCTCTCCATCACCATTATGTTCACGAGATTCATCCCGACTGACGCGGGTGACTGCCCACTGCTAATCATCACTGCTGTATACTGTTCCACCACGTGACTCTTTATCCTCTGGGCAGTTTCAGGGTTGGAGCCACTGTGAGTTGTGCTGCTGTGGATGTTCCGGGATGCATGCGTGGGTGCCCGGGTGCACCTGTTTCTGCCGTGTGGGGGCCTAGGTGAGGCCCTTCTGGGTCAGAGCAGGTGCCTGTGTTCAGCTTTAGCAGATGCTGCCTGTTTCCCACGATGTGCACTCCCACCAGCAGCTGTGAGTGCCAGTTTCTCCACAGCCTCACCAACACTTGCTGTTGTTCGTTTTTCATTGTTTTAATCCTTTAGAAAAGATTTTATTTATTCATTTTAGAGAGAGATCGAGCAAGAGAGTGGGGAGGGGCAGAGAGAGGGAGAAAGAATCTGAAGCAGACTCCGTATTGAGTGCAGAGCCCGAGGTGGGGCTGGATCTCACCACCGCGAGATCGTCACCTGAGCCAAAACCAAGAGTCGGATGTTCAACCTACTGAGCCACCCAGGCGACCCTATTGTTCATTTTTAATTTTAACCACTCTCAAGGAGCATGGAGTGGTATCCTCTTGGGGTTTTCATTTGCATTTCCTTGAGACTAATGAAGCCCAGTGACTTTTCATTGTTTACATTGGGTGACCTTCTTCTGTGAAGTGGATTTAAGTCTTTTGCATGGCCGTGAGCCCATGGAAGCCCTTGATGTGCACTGATGAGTTGCTTCCAAAATAGTGGTGCACAGGTAGCTGTCCCTGAGCCCTACCAGTGCTCCACACGCGTCTTCTGGGTGTGCACAACCCTGAATCAAGCACACGGCGCTGCGGGCAGGGCGGAGCTGGGTTTGGGCTCCTGCTGCCTCCATGACCGGGAGCCCTTCACGCAGTGGGCAACCTGGCCATCCATGCCCAACCACTCTGCCTGCCCCTACATTGTACAGAGAGCCTCACACTGGCCAACTGGGCTGTGCTCAGAGGAGAACAGAGGGAAACAAGAGTTTGCATTCCCTGGGTGCCTTAATGCTAGAGGAAAGACCACTCCGGGGGACCTGCTCAGTGGCTACAGATGATCAAAGGGCTGTTCTGGGGCCCAGGGATCAGATTTGTTTTAGGAGGCCCTACAGGCCCAGAGCCAGGCTGGCAAATTTGAGCTCAACACAGGTTAGGCTGTGAAGGCTCTGTGAGGTCTAGGTCACTTCAATAGCATCATGCCCAGCACACAGTAGTCACCTAATCTATGCCTTTGGGATGACTGCTGACTAGTGCTATCCTGCAACAGATGAGCTGCGTCGGGAGGTGGGGGAGGGTGGTGAGCTCCCAGGCACTGTGGACGGGCAAGGCCAGGCAGGTGACCATCATCGAGGGATTTCACGGGAGGGAGTAATGCCTTTGGTGCTGACTGCTCTGCATGATATTAAAGATGTCCCCAGCCCCTGGACTCTGTGAAGCTATGAATTACCCATGCTGGGATTCAGTAAATGCAGGCTGATCAGTATTAGCTGAAGCAAAACCTAATTAGGAAGGCAAATTGATTTCCAAAAAAAGAATTGGATGATGTGTTCCCAAGACTGTTAGAAATGGTTTTTTAATTGTCTGCTCTTTTGTATTATTCATGCCATTGTATGCCTTTGTGAGCGAAGTCTGGGCAGGTGCCCAGGCACAGGGGCCGACAAGGAGCACCATGGGGCTGAGAGCTGCTCTTTCTGCGCTCACCCCCACCCCAGGTAGCCCGGTCCCAAGGGAAGGGCATCTTCCTCTTCCGGAGGCTGAAGGACATCATGGACTGGAGGAAGGTAAGCTTACCTCTGCCCTTGCTGCAATGAGGGGCCCCACCTGCCCTCTTTCAAAGCTTGGAGGGTGGCAAGTAAGCTCTGGGGCAGGCCCAAAGGAATGGGGTCCCTGAAGCCAGAGTGCCCGGGTTTAAATCTTGATTTTTTTTCCCCTTAATAGCTGTGTGACCTTGGGCAAGATCCTTCACCTGTCTGTGCCTAAGGAAATGGGGGATAGTAGTAATAGTACCTGCTGAGGATGCAATGAGTTAATATGCCTAAAACCTGAGAACATGGCCTCTATACCTGGGCCTCCTGCTCACCTGGTTGGGGAGAGTTCGGCCGAGTCTTCCTGTAGATCCTAGGCTGAGCCTGAGGTAGCTCCCTCCCTCCCCACCACCCCATCCCTATCCCAGACACAGCTGTAGCAGAAATCCTGGTTCCAGTCCTGCCTCTGCCGTTCTGCAGCTGTGTGGTCTTGGGAAAATTGCTGAACCCCTCTGAACCTGAGAGATTTTAATAGTGCAGGGTGAGGGGGGGCGCCTGGGTGGCTCAGTTGGTTAAGCATCTGCCTTCGGCTCAGGTCATGATCCCAGGGTCCTGGGTTCGAGCCCCACGTCCAGCTCTCCACTCAGCAGGGAGTCTGCTTCTCATGCCTCTTCTGTGTCCTCCCTCCCTCTCTCCCCCGCCCTCAAATAAATACAATCTTAAAAAAAAAAATAGTGCAGGGTGAGGGAGAAGAGCAGGATGACCAACTCCTGCACAACCAGCACCTACTGCACGAGTTGGTACTCAAAAAATGAATTTCCCCCCTCCCCTGTGTGTCCTGATTCTGCCCATGAAACCGGCAGGGCACCGCGGGCAAGAAGCTGACCAGCTTAGAGGCCCCGCCGGCCCGGAACGCTGTCAATCCCTCTGGCAGCCATGTGAGTACAGGTAGGGGGTGGTCCAGCGCCCAGGAAGGGGAGGCCCGGTTACCTTGGGGTGGTGTGACAGTAAGTGGAGGAAATTTTGCCCTGGGGGCCAGGAACCCTGAATTCCAGGGGTTCCCAGCCACTGGGCTGTTGTGTGACCTCACCAAGTGAGTGACACTTGCCTTTGGGCCTCAGTTTTCTCACAAGGTTACTGGGAAGGGGGGCAGTGGGTGAGAAAGGGCTTTGCGGACGGTGAGGTGCTGCACAGGTGTGAGAGAGGGCATCGCTGTCTTCCTGAGCTGGGCTGGCGAGGGCGGGAGAACTCGCAGGCAGAGAAGGGACAGGAATGTCCTTGGGCGTCTGTGTGGTGCTGCAGGCAGCGCTGACCAATGGAACCTTCTACAGAGGCGGACCAGTGTGTGCCTGTACTCTCCCCGGTATGGCGACCACTAGCCACGTGTTGACACTGAGCACCTGAAAAGCTGCTGGTACCGCTCAAGGGCTGGATTTTACATTTCTTTTCCTTTCTTTTATATAAATAAAATTTACCATTTGACTACTTTTAAGTGTATAATTTAGTGGCATGAAGTATATTCACGCTGTTGTGCAACCTTCCCCACCGTCCACCTCTAGAACTCTTTTATCTACTTCCAGAACTCTGTCCCCAAGAAACACCGGCTCCCTATTTCCCCTCCTCCCACCCCAGCCCTTGGCAGCCATCCTTCTACTTGCCATCTCCGTGGATTTGATGACTCTAGAGACCTCATCTAAGTGGACTCAAACACTATTTGTCCTTTGTGTCTGGCTTATTTCACTTAGCGTAATGTCCTCAAGGTACATCCATGTGGGAGTATTTAATTTCATTTACTTTTCATCAGTTTAAATGTAAATGGACAGCGCAGGTCTGGAGGTTAAATGCCGAGGCTCTGGGCCCAGCCTGCGGGTCCACTTCCCAGCTGTGCCACTGCACAGCTCTGTGACCTTGGGCAAGTCACTCCCCTTCTCTGTGCTTCAGGTTCTCATCTGTAAACTGGGGATAACATGAGTACTTACTTCCCTGATAGGGGTTGATATACCCCGAGGACAGTACCTAACACAATGCCTCCTACACAAGGAATACTCCATAAATGTTAATAATAGTTATTTTTACAACTAGGATGCGAGAAGTTCTGACGACCAGAAGGATGAGATCCCTGTGGAGAACTACGTAGCTCAGCGCTATATCGAAAACCCCTACCTGATAGGAGGTGAGATGGCCCCTCTGCCCAGAACAAGTGTCTGTGCTGCTTGGCTGCTCTCACCTCCCCGGGCAACGTCCTCTCCTCTCTCCCCAGTGACCCCATCCTTTCTTGAGGCATCACTGGATGCCAGGGACCCCCAGCTTTCTGTCTCCAGCTGAGACCTCACCCTGACACCCCGGATCCTGATGTCCCACAGCCTGCGGCATGCCCTCTTGGGCACCTGCCAGCAACTCAAACCCAATAGCGAGCCTAACATCCAACCTCGCCCTCCCCCTGCCATGGGGCTCATTCCCCAGCCTCCCCGTGTCCCCAGCCCCTCCAGCCCTGGGTGCTAAGCCAGAGGTCGGAGACCATTCCGGGTGTGCCCCTCTCTTCTCCTCCCCCCTCCGATCTCCATCCGGCTCCCACGCAGCTCTTGAGTCCGTCTGACCCCTCCATCCCGGTTCTGGCCGCTGTCCCCTCCCGTCCTCACTGGTACCCACAGCTGCTCTGGCCCCCTGTGCTCCACTCCAACACAGTGGCCCGGGGGACAAGGTACCCTTCAGCGGCTTCCCATGGTTGGTGAAACAAAATGCAAAAACTGCACATGAGCTGGCCCCTGCTGACCTCGCTGACCTCACTGACCTCACTGACCCCATCTCCTTCCACTCCGCTGGCTCCGGGCCCCAAGGCCCACCCTTCTGGGTTAGTGGGCACCTCTCTTCCTGGAGCCTTCTCCATGAAGCCTTCCTGATCCCATGTCTTCAGCCTTTCCCCAGCATGTCTTAAGGTTTTATTTATTTATTTGAGAGAGACAGATAGTGAGAGATAGCACGAGCTGGGGGGTGGGGAGGGGCAGAGGGAAGGGGGGAAGCAGGCTCCCCGCTGAGCAGGGAGCCCGCCGTGGGGCTTGATCCCAGGACCCCGAGATCATGCTGAGCCAAAGGCAGATGTTTAACCGAGCCACCCAGGCACCCCAGGCTTTTCTGGGTATTAACCCTCCCCGCCAGTTACCCTCTCCTTGTACCTCGTGTGCTTTTATTGGCATTCACCTCTGTATGTCCATCACTATAACCCACAAACCCAGCACGGTGCCTGGCCCATGGTCGGTATTTGTTGCATGAATTCTGTCCTTGCCCGACAGGCCGCAAGTTTGACCTGCGCGTCTATGTGCTGGTGATGTCGGTGAGTAGCTAAAAGGGGCCCCTCCTCCAGCCGCAGGTAAGGAATAGCTGGAGGGAGACAGGGGGCAGAAGCCATTCTGGCACAGGGGGCACCTGTGCGAGCTTGTCTGATTTTGCCTGCCTGGGAGAGCCCACGGGACATCTGAGGATAAGAGGGGGGTGAGTAAACAAATCCCACTTTTGCCATCCCAGGGTCTGGGTTTGCCCCCTACCTTTTATTCACCCAGCCATCCGTGGTAACCGCAGCTAACTTTTACTGAGCACCTACTAAGTACCAAGCCCTGGCATTTGGTAGATTTTATTTCATTCAGTCCTCCTAATAACCAGGGAGGTCCGTTCTATTATTATCCTCATTTTACAGATGAAGAAACAGATACAGCGGGGTTGAGTGACTTGTCCAAAGTCACACACTGGTGACCGGCAGAGTTGGGGTTCGAATCCAGGCAGCCTAGCCCCAGAGCCTGCTCTCAAACCAGGAGTTGCTGTGCTCCCCCCCCACTCATTCAACAGTGTCCAGACCTTCATGGTACGGCGCTCCGTGTGGGGCACCGGACACAGGGGCGTGGGACGCAGGCTCCGCCCTGTGCCCCTGGAGCTTACTGTCTGGTGGGGGTTATGGACACACGCTGAGCTGGGGTGTTGCCCGTGGTGGTGGAGCAGAGAAGAGGCCTGTTCATTCTACTTCCTTCTGTACCGTCTTCCCACCCCCAGCACCGGGAAAGGAGGGGCTAGAATCGGAGGAGGCTGACGCTGGAGCAGATTCTTGAGGGGTGATGTGGGAAGGAAGGAAGGGCACTTCGGGTGGAGGAAACAGCAGGTTCAAAAGCTCAGAGGGGCAAAAGTGCTCATATTCACCCCCACCTCTGCCTCCCCCTCCTTTCCCTCCTGGACGCAGTACCTCCCGCTTCGGGCCTGGCTGTACCGGGATGGCTTTGCCCGATTCTCCAACACCCGCTTCACCCTGAGCAGCATTGATGACCAGTGTATCCTGGGATCACTGCCTACCCGTCTCCCGTGCACCCTGCCCCTTCCCGTCTCCCAGCTGGTCAGGGTGAACTTATTCATTCCACAGAGCGCCAAGCTGGGGTCTGGGCACAGGAGATAACAGCAGCGAACAAGACGGGCCTGGTCCCTTCCTCCGGGCCCTGACAGTCCTGTAGGGAGCCCCCTGTGATCCCAGGGGAGTGGCTCCGCTTTGCTCAGAGCAGCTCACCCCAAACTGCTCTGCCTGACGGTCATTTTGGTGGTGTGCCGGCCATCCGCACTGGTTCACGGTCGTAGGATGGGAGAGTTTGAGCCCCTCTGGAGAACGTTTGCACCCTTTCATGTGCTTTAGTCATTGGCTCACATATTCACTCAAACACGATGCCCTCTTCATCCACCACGATGGCAGGGACCGAAAATTTGGTAACACACTATGTCGGCGAGGCTGGGGGAGTACAGGTGTTGCTGGTGGAGTATAAGTTGGTACAACCGCTTCGGAGGCGACCTGGCAAATGTCTATCAAAAGACAAAAAACACATGCCCTCTGACCCAGCAATTCCCTTCAGGGAATTTACCCTACACGCACACTCACGGTATAGGAAAAGAGAGGTTGAAAGGTTATGCACTGCACAGCCTTGTTTGTGAGAGCAAAAAAAGATAGGAAATAAGACCAATGGCTCATCTGCACGATGGAATACTATGTGGCTGTTAAAAAGGAATGGGGGGGCCGTGCTTTAGGTACAGATGTGAAATAATCTTGGTGATGTATTGTCAGTTGGAAAAAAGCCAAGCGTAGAACTCTGAAAAGTATGCTTCCGTTCACGTCACAGATCTCTCTCTCTGTGTGTCTGTGCACAGACATCTCTGGAAGTACAAGAAATTGGAAACAGAAGTTGCCCTTGGGAGGAGACTTGGGCAGGTGGGCACAGGCGTGGGGAAGGACATATGTCCTCAGACACATTTTGATGCCTTTTGATTTTTGAACCACGAGAGTGTATTATTCGGTTAGAATATCCACATCAAAAATAATGTTTCTAAGATTTTTAGACATGAGCATCAGAAGAAAAGAGGTTGACAGTCCAGAAATGGGGAGATGAGAAATCAGCAGGACGAGATCGCCTGCATGTGGGAGAGAAGGAAAGGAAGGTGCTGCGTCTGCTAAGCTGCTGACGCGGGCACCCCAGCCAATGCTTCCAGCCAGTTCGCGCCTCTCGCCTTAATTTTGTCTCCCGATTATGGGTCTGTCTGAGCTACTTGCCTGCATGCTGGAATGGGAGGGAGCCCTCCCGGCTATTTCCTACGACTTTTCCCCCTATCTTTCCAACTTCAGCATCTTCAGTATGTTTGTTTCATTTTGTAATTCTAACAAGCATTTGTCATATGCAAGTTAACATCTCTTTTAGGTTCATTTTTTTGGCCACTGTGTGTTTTGTTAAGATTAAATCACACATGTAAAGCATTTAGGACAGTGCTAAGGCCAGAGTGAGCGCTCAGCACACCTTAGTCATCCCCTCCCCGCTATTTACAAGTGTTTGTGTATCTCTGGGGTCGTGGGGCCTTAATAAGCAAATCCCAGCCTACTCCAGGACTACTTTCTAGTTAATGAGGCTTTCCTGTTTGCACAGTGAGTGAATACACATTATTTTCCACAACTGCTTTTCATTGTTTTTGATTTTTAAACGTTAAAATAGTTAAAACGTATAGAAAAATGTAGAAAAGACTATCAGAGAAATCCAGGCATCCATCATCCAGATTTGACAAATGTTAGTATTTTGCCACATTTCCTTCTATTACACACGCAACTTTTTAAAATAATAAAGCAACTTTGGGGGCACCTGGGTGGCTCAGTCGGTTAAGTGACCAATGCTTAGCTTTAACTCAGGTCATTATCTCAGGGTTGTGGGATCGAGCCCCACGTCAGGTTATGTGCCTAGCACAGAGTCTGCTTGGGACTCTCTCTCCCCCTCTGCCCCTCCCCCCTGTTCTCTCTCTCTCTCTCTCTCTCAAATAAATAAATACCTCTTTAAAAAAATATAATAAAGCAACTTTGGATCACAGAATAATAAGACATATTTTAACCTGACCTTAAATATACATATTTACATTTTTATATATAGTTCATGCACAGCTACTCAAATATTATATGCATACACACACACACAAACACACAAAATACAAAAGTAACCACCTCAACACTGTAATAATAAATAGAAATAAGGTAAAACGCCTTTGTGGGGTGGTAAAAGGAATGATAAAGCATCTGCATGAAATTGCACAGCTGTTACAATGAGGTAAATTGAACTGTCATGGAAAGTCATCTAAGATAGACTATTAAGGGAATAACAACACACAGATAGAGAACTGGTAGGTTTATGATCCTGATTTGACTTTTAAGGAAGGATGTTTCTGTTTAGAAGAAAGAAAGGACGTTCACTAATTTATTAATTCTGAAAACCACGGAGGATTAGAATCAGGTCAGGAACTTTTATTTCCAACTTTACATGTTTTCCTGTATTATCGATTGTTTTTACAACCATTATGTATTACTTTAATAATAAATATAATAAAATATTTAAAGAGTATAACTTTCACAATACAAATAGTATAGCTTTTTAAAGACAAATCAGAAAATTCAGAAAATGTACAAAAAGGGGGTGGGGGGAGAAAAGCCTTCTCTAGTCACGTTTTCCAGAGACAACTACTCACCTTCTGATGTATTTCCTCCTAGGTTCATTTGTATGGTTTTTTGTTGTTGTTGTTTGTATTTTATAAAGGAGTGATCCCACCATATAAACATAACTGCTTTTTCACTACACATGTCAGTATTTTCCTTGCAGACATTTTTTATTAGTTATAAAATATTCCACTGAGTTGGATTTACTGGTTTACTAATCCTCCACGCTGTGGGCATTTGGGAGGTATTCAGTTTCCTCCAATTATGACATATAGTGCCACAAAGAAATGTATTTTTCATAAATCTTTTACCATATTTAAATTTTTTCCTTCAGATGACATTGCAGAAGTGTAACTTCTGGGTCAAGGGCTTATGGTTAGATTGTTTTCCAGAAGGTTCTTTTGTATTTTTACCCTTCCACTGACAGGGCCCATTTTATCCCTGCTCTCCGGTTCTGAAGACAACCATTTTAAAGAGACATTTTTAAAACAACTGGCACGTATAGGTGAAGCATATACGGGCATTCATTATACTTGCAATGATTCTGTGAGTTTTGAGTTTTTCCAGATAAAAAGGTTAAAACATATGTAACTGACTTAATGGGGAAGCAGGATTTTACCTTAGAATTTGCATTTCTTCCAATTGTATTTTTGCCCCATTTGCATCCCTTTAAAATTGGGTATCTTCTATTACTGGAAACTTTAGGCATTTTCCCAAATGGTCTTTTGCCAGTTATGTCTCCTCTGATGTGTTCATATCCCTCTATTTACTTATCTATTAGGGTCATAAATTTTTATTGTTAACAATTTATGTGGGATTTTCATGTGACAAAAAACATTAGCCTATCATAGTTGCTACAAATCTTGTCTCTAGTCATGCTTGCTTTTCATTCGTGTCTTGATATCTGATTATTTTTATGTTTACATAGTTGGCCCATCCACTGACTTCCTCTGATTTCTATTGTCATTTCTAAGCAAAAAAAAATTTCCTGCTGAAAGAGTTCATAACTAATCAGTTCCACTTCTCTACAGATTGGTTTTGATGGTTTGCTACTTTGCCTATGCACCCGGCTTAATAGGTGAGGAAACAGGCTCAGAGGTTAAGTGACTTGCTCGGGCGGGGGGAGGGCAGCCAGTAAAGATACAAGTGAGATTTGAACCCAGGTCCATCTGGTTACAAGGCCCACATCCGTGCTGTCTGGGCTGTTTGGTAGCCTTCCTCATCAATGGCCAAGCACAAGTCTTAGTTCGGTCTCTGGGGGCTACATGGCACAGGGCTCCTCCTTCTTATTCGCCCTAGTCCTTGACCACCAACCTCACCCAGATGTTCACCTCACCAATGTTGCTGTGCAAAAGACATCTCCTGACTACCACCCGAAGAAGGTGAGGAAGCTGGGCTTCTGCCTTCCAGGGCCAGCCTTTTGGGACCGGGTTGGGGTGGGGAGGTGGGGTACCAAGGAGCCCAGGACAGGCCTATCTTGGGCTCATAGTTCACCAGTGAGGTCAGGACCACCCTTCCCACTTGCAGGGCCCAAGGCAAGAGCACATCATGTGTCTAAACAGTTAAGTTACAACTCAAAGAAACACACCCTGTAACAAAATGTGTTCTATCCTCCTACCTTGACAAGTATATTTCCATCCATCCATCCATCCATCTTTCTTTCTCTATCATCCATCCATCCATCCATCTAATAATCTAATAACCTATCTAATAACCTGGCAAGGCTAGGTTCAAATTTAGAATTCTCAGACTTCTCAGAGTTAAGACCCAGAACAGTGGGGCACAGGGAGACCTGGCCCCCAGCTCACACCCACTCGCTTCCTTTCCCTCCTCCAGCTCCATCCCGCACACTCCCATTTTCCTGAAAACAGTAACCAGTTGTCGTCTTTGGGCCTTGGGGTACACACATGGCCAGTGCAGTCTGTCCCCAGGAAGGCAGGCCCAGGGAAGAAGCCTGTGCAGGGACTGACGGGGTCCCGAGTACCCTGGCTGTGCTCTAGAAAGAGAGGCACAGGCTCTGGGTGGGCACCCCCCAGCCCCAAGCATGCAGTAGCCTTGCCCCACAAGAGGGACAAACTCAGAGTTCTCCTACTCACCAGACTCAGGCCTGGGCCCTTCTTGTCCCAGCCCAAGGACCATGCAATGGTGATTGTTTGAGGGTCCCAGCAGGCCAGGTCCCAGTTAATTGAGGCTCCCTCTCCCACCCCACCCTGGGTGCTTGGGGCCCCAGGGCTGCAAGTGGATGCTCCAGCGCTTCCGTCAGTACCTTGCGTCCAAGCACGGGCCCGAGGCGGTGGAGACGCTCTTCAGCGATATGGACAACATCTTTGTCAGGAGCCTGCAGAGTGTGCAGAAGGTGATCATCAGCGACAAGCACTGCTTTGAGCTGTACGGCTATGACATCCTCATAGACCAGAACCTCAAGCCGTAAGTGGGTAGGCTGGTGGCCCGGAGAGTGGGGGGGATGTTGTACGTGCTGTAGCCGGACCGCCCGGGTTTGATCTCTGCCGCTTCCTTGTGTTGCGCCTCGGTTGGCCCATCTGTAAAATGGGCATTGTGCTTATAGCATTAGTATGAGGAATGAATGAGGTACCGTCCATAGAGCACTGAACCCCAGGCCTGGCACTGAGAGACCTTTCCGGAACATCTGCTGAGCCAGGGATCCTTCCCTAGTCCCGGGCAAGAAACTTCTTTGTAAGCCCTGCCGCTTTCAGGATGCAAAGTGCCGCATAAGAGAATATTGTTACCATGTCGCTTTCTGCCAAGAATTTGGCAACAGTGGCCGGCTCTTCCCGGCTCGCCAGTCTCCACTCCTCCCTGCTCCCGCCACCCCACTGTGCCCACGGAGGAGGCTGAACCGATGAGGAAAACAAGCCTGACGTGGTAGGGACCACACCGATGGCCCCTATGTGATACAAAAGGACCCAGAAGCCCAGCAGGGTTGTTCCGGGTGCTTGAGGCCACACAGTAAGTCAAGGGCAGAGCCAGACCCAGGGTCATCATTTTTGGGCCAGTACTGCGGCTCCTGGAGCCAAGCCCCTCCCCTGGGTCACTGGACCGGTGCAGAGGGGTTTTCGGACCCAGGAGTTGGAGCCCTAGAATGAGGCCTAGGTCAGATAGCTTCAAGAGAAACAGGGTCCTGGGGCCAGCGGGTCTCTCCTCTGCCCCTGCAGCAGGACGTGGCTGGGGAAACAAGTCTGGGAGGGGGAGGGCCCGCGTCTGCCACGGACCTGCCTGGTGAGCCCTTCCCTCTCTGGGCCCCAGGTTCTTGTCCGTCAACGACCGGGTTGCGCAAAACCAAAGTTTGCAAGCTGGAGGCCCTTGGGACCCATCGCTGTGGTCCCTACCACCTCAGGCTTGTTTTCCTCACCAGTTCAACCTCCTCTGTGTCTGTGGCCCACAGACACTTTGAGTTTGGACTTCATATGGTTTTTTATTTAAATTCATTGACGATCTCTAAAAAATGGGGAGATATTTACACAACAGTCTGGAGTTTTGCCTTTTCTGGAAAACTCAGAAGGTCTGCCGACCCTGGGCCACACTCCCACAGGGCAGCAGTGTCCTGGAGGGGCCGTGGCAACAGTGGCCGGCTCTTCCCCCCTCGCCAGTCTCCACTGCTCTCTGCTCCCACCACCCGCAGCGGCCAGGCACTTGCCTTCCACAGGCAAGCGTTCACTAGGGTTCTATTGGAAGAAGGAGGAGCAATAGGAGGGCGGCAAGATCACTCCACCCCTCCCGCTTGCCTCATTTAGGTACCCCACCTGGCCCCTGTGGGGATTTCGAGTTTGTGACCACTGTCTTCAAAAAGTTTTAGCTGCTGAGTCCTTTCTTCTAGTGGAAAAATGGAAAGAGCGACCTTGGTTGAATTGAGGGTTGGGCCCAGGCACCACATGTAGCCTCTCGGCGAAATTCCAGGGGCCCCACGGACCAGGTAACCCTAAGGCCTTACATCCCCCTCCTTCCCCAGGTGGCTCCTGGAGGTCAACGCATCCCCGTCGTTGACAGCCAGCAGCCAGGAGGACTATGAGCTCAAGACCTGCCTCTTGGAAGACACCCTGCATGTGGTGGACATGGAGGCCAGGTAAGGGGGGGCAGCCTCACTCAAGCACCCCTGGACATGACACCTGGGGCCCCCAGCAAGGAAGACAGAGAACTCACAGCGCTGGGACTTGAGCAGTATGTAAGGATGGCTCAGGCCTGCTTGCCATTTCATAGATGGACAAACTGAGATGTCCACACAGGGTTATATGCTGGTCCAAGGACTCAGCCCTTTTCGGGCAGAGCAGGACCAACTACAGCCTTCTGAGATTCAGCCCAGCAGGATTTCCTCCACACTTCCTGACCATGAGACCCTGGACTTCACCTGTCTGAGCCTCAGTTTCCTCATCTGTAAAATGGGAAACATCATGTTTACCTCTCAAGATTGTTAAATTAATTTACCAAGATTATTTATTGTAAAGTGTCTAGCTCACCATAAGTGTTCAGTAAGAGACTATATATTGTTATAACAACGTGTATATAATGGGAAGATCCAGGGTCTGACTTCAGGAATGGCTGAATCCAGGTGCTCGGTTGGTATTGGTTGGTCTGTCTGCACACTGGCTCACTCTTCTGTCTCTCGTTCCCCTTCTCTCCCTTTCTCCCTCTCCCTCCCCAACCCCCACTTCTTTCCTATGCATTAGCTTTTTCCCAATTATTCCAGCAAAAGTTTGAGGGCTCTCATTCTCACTGGTGGGGATTTTGTCACATGCCCATCTCTGAACCAATCATTGTGACTCTGACTGACTGGGCCTACACCTCCTGCCCATCTCCCAGTGGGGTGGGATCATCCCCACCCGAGCCATGTGAATGAGAGAGGGAGGAGTCCCTGGAAATTCAAGTACCCTCAGGCTGAAAGAAGCTGAAATGTGTGCTGAGCAGGCAGAACCTCAAGTGTCCTCTATATCTACCATCACTTATTCATTGAACAAACATTTGGGCCCCTAATATGTGCCAGGACCTGTGCCACACCCTGGGGACACAGTAAAGGACACAATAGACCTAGTCCCTGCTTTCCTGGATTTTACGGTCGGGGAAGGACGGCAGACTTTAAGTATAAGTAGGTTCATGTTACTGAGGGCAAGCGTGGGAGCCTGGGGACGACAGAGGAGATGACCCCTCTGAGACCTGTCCGGGCCCCCAGGAAATGGGTGGACAAAAGAAGGAATTCTGACAGCATGGGCGCCAGTGGGGTGCAGGGAGGGAGCGGGGAACCAGTCTGGGTCTTCGGGCCCCACCAGGTGCACCTTCATTATCCCCTTGTATCTCCTGCCCATCCAGGCTCACAGGAAGGGAGAAGAGAGTGGGAGGCTTTGACCTCATGTGGAATGATGGCCCTGTCAGCAGGGAAGAGGGGGCTCCTGACCTGTCGGGGATCGGGAACTTTGTGACCAACACACACCTTGGTATGTGGGGCCAGCTGGGGAATGGGCACTGGGGATGGGTCATGAGAGGAGCCAGGTAGTCTAGGAGACGGCTTGGCACAGTGGTTAGACTGTTTTCATTTGCCCTACCATTTACCGGCTGTGTGACCTTGGGCAAGGGACTGAACCTCTCTGTTCCTCATCTGTAAAATGGAGATTAAAGAGTTTTTACTCTCAGTATATGCCTGGAACACCACCTGGTACATAGCAAGAGATCTTATTAATCTGTCAGGAGGTGGATTTCAAGAGACTTAGGTGGAAAAAAAAAAAAAAGCACACTGTGTTAAAAGAAATTAAGGACTCCAGTGCTTGACTTTAAACTTGGTTTTTAAAAAAGTGAAAAATTTTCCTGATTATAAAAAGTATTTACTCCTTGTAGAATATTTGAAAACCAAAAGGAAATAAACCATCTAGACATAACCAACTTTAGCAATCTTGTTGTATTTCCTTCCAGTGTTTCAAAAATGTGTATATTCACACTTTTTCCTTCACAAAATGGGCACTGGGCTGGAGTTTTGGGTCCCACTTTTCCATGTAATATATTCCATGTCGTTCAATGATATTAATAAGAGCCTCTCTTCTGGAAACACTTTCCGGCTAGGTCCGAGCTAAATATTTTACATACATTATTTCATTTTTAGGCAGCTTCTATCGTTTTACAGATGGGGAAATGGTCTCCAGATCTTACATAACTTGCTGAGGGTCCCAGTTATAAATGGTGAGCCAGGACTTGAACCCTAGTCTCTCTTACTCTAAAACCTGAATGCTTGGCCGCTAGAAAATCCTGTCCCTTACCACAGTTAAAAGCAAAATTACTATACGGCTGTAAAATATTTCAGCTTGTGTATGTGCTGACCTTACTAAATCCATTTCTTATAATTGAGCATTTGGCGGGATTCCAAATTTTTACTTTTATAAATAATGCCATGCCATGATGAACATCCTCTCACATAAAGCTCAGCTGAAATTTCTGGCTATTTCTTTAGGACAGATTCCTAGAAGTGGAATTACTGGGTCAGAGGGATGGACTTATTACAACTAAATTGCTTTCTAGAAAGATTACACAAATTTGCCTGCTCTGAATTAAAAAAAAGAAAAGAAAGGAAAAAAAAACCTTTGTCAACTTGATAGGCAAAAAAGTTCTGACTTGTTTTATGTGTTCCATTGATTATTGGTGAGGTTTCAGATTTTTCAATTTGCATTTCTTCTTTCATAAGCTGTCCATACTCTTTATGCCTTTTTCAGTAGACAGTTTTCTAAATTTATAAAGGCCTTGGATATTAATACATTGATGATATTACCCCTCTGTCAAACTTATGGTAAATATTTTCCTGAATTTGTTATTTGCTTTTAAATTTTATTTGTGGCTTATTTTTTTTTTTTATGAAGTTTTAAATCTTTTTTAGAGTTTGGTATGTTTCAGGATTGAGTTTGGCTGCAAGCAACTGAAAAGCCAACTAATAGTTACACAGGGGGAGTGATGTGTCTTGAGCCACAGGAAGTCTTGGGGTAGGCCAGGCAGGGCTGACACAATGGAGGCAAAATGCCCCCAGAGACCCAGCGCTTTCCTCTTCCCGCTTTGCCACACTTAGCTTGTTGCCTCATGGTTGCAAGGTACCTGCTCCAGCTCCAGACACTGTCCTTGTCCCAGGCAGGAAGAAGCAGGAAGGCCTGAGAGCCAAGGCTTTCCTTCAAGTTTGGACTCTATTCCAAAAGGGAAGCCCTCCCGGGGCTGACATCTTACTGGCAAGAACTGGGTCACGTGGCCACGCCAGCTGCAAGGAAGCCTGGGATGTCAAGTAATTTGCTTGAGGAAGGCAGAGAAGAGGGCATTTATGAAAGGCTTTTCTCCAGCCAATTCCCTAGGGTCTGCTGAGTTATGTTGTTGGAAGAGGACTATCCAGTGCTCTCAAGCTTTGATGTGCATGTAATCATCTGCAAATCTTGTTAAAATGCAGATTATGATTCAGTAGGTCTGGAGTGGGGGCTTAAGATTCTGCAGTTCTAACAAACTCTCAGGTGGTGCTCTATTAGCAGTTGTTATATAACAAACCAATCCTCCCGAAACCCAGAGGCTTAAAACAACTACTGTCTTATTTGCGGATTCTTCAGGTCTTGCCTGGGGTTGCTCAGAGGGCTGCATGCGCCCGGCAGATTCACTGAGACCCAGTGGCCTAGAATAGCCTCGTTCACACATGTGGTGGCTGATACTGGCTGTCAGCTGGGTCTCTCTTTCCAGGCGGCCACTCGTCCTCCAGCAGTCCAGCCCCACATGGTAGCCTCAGGGTTCCGAGAAGGTGAGAGAAGTCCTAGGGAAGCCTCTTGAGGCTTCCACAGGAAGCCCCACAGTATAGTGTCATTCTGCCACAATCCATCCGTCAAAGCTGCTCCACCCCAGATTCACGGGGCAAGGAAGTGGCCCCCACCTCCAGGTGGAGGAGCACCAAAGCACCTTGCAGAGACTCGTGCACAGAGGAATGGAAGGAGTTGTTGCAGCTACCTTTGCCAAGCATCCGCCTCAGGTATGAATGCTGCTGGTGCCTGGGCCCGGTTCGAGTGGCAAAGATGCAGAACAGTGGTTCTCTCCATCTTGGCTGCTATAGGAATTCTGCAGGAGCTTTCAAAAATACTAATGCCTATTGAAGGTCAAGATACAGTTGGTCTGGCCATTAGTCTTTTCAAAAGTGCCCAGCTGACTCTAAAGTGCAGCCTAGGTTGACAGCCACTGCTTTAGAAGTCTCTAAAATAATTCCCAAGTCTCCAGTCGAGTGTCTGGGTAGATGGTAGTGAGTACAAGACAAGCTGGTTGGGGTGGGAAGAGCATGGACGGAATGAGTAAGGGAAATGTTGAGGGGTTTCCGGGTGAAAAGATCAGCAGGTAACTCAGAGATGAGTCTAGAACTCCAAGAAGAGGTTTGCATTGGACACGAAGATTTAGGAGTTGTGAAAGAACCAATTAAAGCTTTGGCAAACCCTGGGGACACAGGTAGTGGGCCTCAGCTGGGTGAAGCCTTGATGGCCAGTGAGTGCCTAGGAGGCAGGGATGGGGCTCGGGGCTGCTAAGAAAGATGGCAGACGCCTGCAGGACAGTATAGTTGTGGCCACAGCGAGCCAGTCACTCAGCCAGCATCTGAGAATGCCATCCCTGTGCCTGGCACAACTAAATGACCATGGAGCTGCCTCACGGACCCGCTGTGAGGACAAGCACGAAGTGAGTGACACCGTGAATGTGCTGGAAGAGGTGGCATCTCAGAAGCTAGAGTTGGCCTCTCGAGCAGGGACCGCCTGGGACACACTTCCAGGAGCGCAGGGGCCGCGTGTGGGGAAAATTGATCTCTTAACCACTTGTGTCTGCCCTGTGGGGTTGGGGAAGGGAAGGAAGCTAACGCTTAACCTGTTAGGGACCAGGCACCACGCTGGCTTGCCATGTGTTTCCAGGAAGCACAGCCAAGAGGAAAGGCCGTGTGGAGCTGTGGTTAAGAGCTTGGCCTCTGGCGCTACAGAGCCTGGGTTCAAGTCTCAGTTCTGCTTTTGGTGTGATTTGGAGCACATTTCTTAACTTCTCTGAGCCTCAGTTTCTCTTCTCCACATCATTCCTGTGAGGGCTCAACACGTTAATCCACATTCAGCACCTGGGGCGGGGTAAGCTGAAATGAATGTTACCTTTTTCTTTTGGTGATCCTTACATTCCCTCCAGAAAGCAGGTATCCTGGTTTACAGATGAGCAAACTAAGCTGGAGACGGGTCAATGACCTGCTCGAGGGCCATGGAGTGGAGGCAGGACGCAAATTATAGGCCATCCGGGGGTGCACGCCCCTCCCAGCTCCCCCCACCCCCCACCCCCCGTGCGTCCACTACCAAGGCCATCCCAGCCAACACTCGGCTTCCCTTCCAGGCTGCGTCAATGACCGGAGCAACCAGCTGAGGCAGCTATTCCGCTCCCTTCAGAGCCAGAAGAAGGCCTCCAGTTAGTCCCGGCAGCAGGGACAGCGACCCGCCCAGGAGGTGCCCCCCCCCCAGTCCCCTCCCCACCCGTTCCCAGCACAGCGGCGCCTTGGAGCACTTGCCTCCCTCCCTCTGGCCTGGCAGCAGCTTTGTGGGCTGGGTGGGCCGCTGCCTACTCACTGTCTGCTGCCGCTTGTCTGGGTCCCCTGGATGCCCCCGCCCCACCCCAGGCACCTCTGCACCCAGAGACAGCCAATCCCTGGGACTGTCTGTGTTCTAACATTGCGGGATTGGCTTGGCGATCAGGCCCAGCGAGGACAGCTGTGGCAAGCCCTACTACCCCAGAGAGACCACGTCTAATAAAGGAACACAGGCCTTACTTGGAGTCACTGTGCCCTGGACCCCGGCTCAGGGGATGCTGATGGCTGAAGCCAAGTCCTCCCCGATTTGACCCTTTGATGTCTCAAAGGTTAAAATGATCCTTCAGGAGGAGGGGTTCAGGGGCTGGGGAACTGGTCTTAAGGTGTACTTGCAAAGCAAACAGTTAATAGATTGTGTTTATTGGGCTCTGGGAAAGGGCTGAGCCTTACATCTTTGTCTCCTTTCAACACCCTGACCTGGTGTGTCAGGGAACTCATGGAGCTCCCCTGACCATCTGAAAACCAGTGGGCCAGAGCATCCCCATTTCTCAGATAGACAAGGTAAGGATCGGGAAGGCAGAGCTGCTTAGCGAGGGTCTCTGCAAAGGTGCACTCATCTGAGTCAGCTGGGTGATGGACGTGCCTCTCTGCGTCTTCCTGGGAGCTGAGCTTTCAGAAAGCCTTGGCCTGGCAGGCAAGGAGATGGCGTAGGGAGTTAGGTGAAAGTTCTGCGTTTTCTCCATATTCCCCATTCCTAAGCCTCCTCTTCGTTTGAGAGATTGCCACAGGGCAGGCTGTGGGTGAACCGCTCCATGGGGGACCTACTACGGGACCAGGCAGCTCCCATTGCAACTCTCCCTGCTGTGGGACAGCTCTGGCTGCAAATAGCAGATTTTGACTGCCTAGGGAAGGGAAGGGTTTTTGGAAGGAAAAATACTGGCAAACCCCAGAAGTGAACCAGCCAGCCTTGGGAAGGCCAGAAGCCAGGCCACTCCGGACCTCCTGCCTCTAGAGCGTGGGGACTTCCTTGCATCCCTGTGATGGAGGTAAGACCACACAACCCCAGACACAGGCTCATTTCCAGGACAGCCAATCTGATTGGCTCTTTGGCCTAGCCACCACCCCGCTAGACAGGCAGAGGCAACGTTCAGATACAAGTCGTGAGCCAGGCCCACATCCCAGGCACTACCGCAGCCATGTGTCCTTACTGCAACCTTGTGCTCCAGCCCTGCAGCTTCTGTCTAGGGAGGGAGCCATGCAGTGTTTACACACAAATGATCAGATGAGATGCTATCTGTCCACTTGCTTTTCTCACCTACTACATCTTGGAACTTTTTCTCAGTCAGTGCTCAGAGAGCTTCCTTCTTGATGACAGGTGTACCGTATTCCACTGTCTGGAGCTATCAGTTCCTTTAACTAGTCTACTACGGACACACATCTAGCTTCCGATTCCACCTCCCCACTTCAGGGCCATCATGGGGAAAACACATGCTATTTTCTACTTAAAAAACTCAAGGGGATGCAAAATCATAGGTATGGGTCAAATTTGGCATATGTAAGGTATTCTGTTTGGCCAACTTTAAGAACTTCTGCATTAGCAATATTTAAAAGAAGATTCAACTTAAAAATCCAAATTTCTAGCCCTTCTTGGAAAAAAACACAAAATGTTAAGATCTGGCCATACCAGCCTATGTTCCCATATCATTATCGTCTGGAGCCAAGTGGAGCAAGGGGACCAGGTGAGGCCACAGTCATTGTTACTGCCTGTCGAGTCCTGCTATCATTTCCCAGCAAGAGCCACTGTCCCTTTGCAGGTGGTGTCCTCAAGGCAATGTGCCCTCAAGTAAGGCTGAGATGAGGTAAAGAACAGAAGCTACCGTTCATTCATTTAGGAAACGTTTATTAAGCCCTCAAAGAACATGAAACACACAGTGCTGTCCTCACAGTACGTTCACCCCCGGATCCGAGACTGCTGAGGGCGGGCGGGAACTCTGAGCAGTCTGGCCCGGGCCCTGCCTTCAGAGGTGGCGGAGGGCCACGTGAAGAGGCAGCTCCCTCCCCCATCCGTGGTCCAGGACTCTGCAAGGCCTTCCTGACTAAACAGCAGGTGCAGGAGTCTGAGACGCAGCACCCACGCTGGGCTCCATCCCAGGGACATGTAGGAGAAAAGGGCCAAAGTGGAGGCCGCGGTGGGGACTGGGGCGTGTGCCCCACGGAAGGCTGCGGTGAACTACGAAGCACCAAGATTCCACCCTTCATTCAGAAACCATCTGTGAGCCGCCCGCTTTATTCCAATTCCACCACATGCTGCTTGAGAATGCCTCTCTTCCTGAGAGGAATGCAGGAATGATGCTCCCCGCGGCTGCCAGGGGCCCATCTGAACAGCAGGCCCTTGTTAAAAGCGCCTGCTGTGGTCATTCTCACACCCTCACAGGCACGGCCCCCACCCACCACTGGTGGCTGCCGGGGCCTATCAATGGGTCTTGTGTCCATCCAGCTCCAGTGGTCGGACCCAGCAGACACTGGCAGGCTGAGGGCTCCCTCCTGCCGTCACAGAGCAGCAATCCCCACAGACAGAGGCTTCTCATGCTCAGATTCCTGAAGCCTAGCTCCTAATAGGGTAGATCATGTCCTTGCAGGTTATAAAGCTGGAGAGTCCTGGGTCCTCCATGACCGCTGGTGGGTGGGGGGGGGCGGCGGGGAGAGAAGCTGTCTTTGGTACCCCATCTTGGTTCTTGAGTTTCATCCTTTTAAGATGATCTTGAGAGCTTTAAGTTCATCCTGGTTGAGGGGATTCAGGTTAAAACCCTTCAACTCTGGTTTGCCTAGGGGGAGAAAACAATCCATCAGCAAGTTGGGCCTCCTGTTGTCCAACCTCCTGCTGGCCCTGGAGTCAGGCCCAGGAAAGGGGCTTATGCTGCATTCATGCTGCCAAACACTTGGCCTTAAGGTCTAGCAGGGAAGGGCCTCAAATTCTGCAATGCACTGGATGAGGCACCTGCGTCACCAAGGACCTGCAGAGTCACGACTCTGCTGCCCAGAAACCTACCGATTTCTGCCAGACCTGTGACCAATCTGGAGTGGTTAGGTTTACCCAGAAGTTCAGCTCTGACCTTGACCATCTGACTGAGGCCTTCTGCGTCCCCTCAGTCAGAGCTGTCCTGGTTCCTATACCATGCCCTAGGATATCATGTGAGATCCCCCAGGCTGTTCCTCTTATGGCAGGAAAAAGACTTGTGACAGGAATAAGACCCCGCAACCCTCCTTGCCCATTCCATCTCTGGGCAGCCACGACTGCTGTCCCTGCCCACAGCCTCTACGCGGCCCACGTGCTGCCCAGGCCCTCGCCCACCCACCTGGGAGGGGCTTCCCACCCGTGCTCTGCAAAGTCCATGCTGACATTGACAGTTCGCTCCCCTCCTGGTTTCCAGTTCCCTCCAGGCCCATACCTTGGGCCTCAAAGAGGCGGTTGACCTTCACTTTAAGTCGTTTCCGGAGTTTCTCTATTTCTTTATCCAGATGATCCTGATCTGAAAAACGAGGTGGTGGAGGATGGGGTTATACTACAGACACAGTGACCCAAAGGCAGCCAGGTACGTCAGCTTCTCCCTAGACTCCTTGAAAGCAAGCGCTCCTGGCATTGAGGAAGAAGGGGACTTCAGAGACCAACTGAGGAAGGAACTAAAGAGCCAGAGAAGGGAGGTGATTTGTCCAAGACGGCTGAGTGAGCCCAGGACAGGACTGAGCACCCTGTCCACTGACCTATTTTCATTATGCAAAGTACCTTGGGCTGCTCAGTGGTGGTGGTGGGGTAATATCTGGACTTTAGGTCCCCCTCCCACAATGAAATTACAGAAAATTAAAACATCAGACCAGAATGAAGAACCTAGACCCAGCCCATCCAAGATGGCTGGAAAATGTGTGGCTCAGGAATCTTACAAACCCAAGTCCATCAAGGTGAGCGGTTTTTAAACAACATGACCGTGGTGATATGTGACCTAAACAATCAATGGGCAAGCCTGATGCTCAAGCTTAACCTAATTCACCGTGAACAGAAAAGATTATCTTGCCAAGATGGATCGCACGTGAACACAAACTGCACTATGAGGAAGTAGAGGCTACAAAGCTTGGTGACACAACTGCCTGATGTCACCCAACTCCACCTGCTCACGATGACATGCTGGCTAGTTTGTTTTCCCCACAGATTTTCATTCTTTCTGATAGGGAGAAGCCCCAAGCAGCCGAGCCCTCTGGCCTGGGCAACGGTTTTAGTGTTCACGGTAAATGACCAACCCTGGTCTCTTACGAGCTTATTTAGCTCACATCGACCCCTGAGAACCAGTGATATAATGTCCCAGAATCCTTCTGTGTATGGTGACAAGACCACATTTGTGGGCCAAGACAGCTGAGGACCAGATCCTGAACCCAGGCAAGTGACCCCCTCTGAAAGCTCAGCCTGAGTGGCCTGGAGCCCACCACTCACATGCAATTACAACTCTTAATTTTATAACCATAACATTAGTGTGCATTTTCTAACAGGAAGCTGGAAACTTCTCTAAGCTGATATAGTCTCCTTTGCTAAAATTTTATTTCAACAGGGATAGGGAGATTCTGCCTTCAGGGACAGAGGCGACCTTGCTGGTCCTCTTGGCACATACATTTTAAAGGGTGGGGAAAGAGGAAACATGCATAATCTTTCCTTTTTCCAGCCAAGGACCCATCTGCACCTTGACTTTTTGCCTTTATGATGCTTCTCCAAAGAGCCTCCAGGATCGTGGTTATGAAGATTTGAGTAACATGCTGAGTGCCTAGACCGTGGCAGACCCTAGAGGCTTGTTCTCCCCAAACCTCCACTGGCTCTATGGCAGGTGATGTCAAAAATAAAAGCGCACTCTGCCAGGCTCCCTTGCAGCTATGGAGGGGGGGCAGCAGCACGTGACTTAGTTCTGGCCAATGAGATGTCAGTGGTCTCTGAGGAGGACAGCATTATTTGGAAATAGAAGGCAAGGCCATGTATGGAGAAAGCTGGCCCTCTGCCGTTCCTGTAGCCTGGCCTATGGACATGAGGCCTGCAATGATGACACAGCCGCTCCAAGAATACGTGAAGGTGACCTTGCTGAGCGTCTGTGCCAGTCCTGGACTCCCCACCTCTGGACAACGGACGAGAAAAATAGAACCAGATTTCCTAAGCCTCCATTTGTTGGGTTTTCTGTATTTGTGGCCCAGCTCGTTCCTCACTGATAAACAAGCACTAGGCTAAGTACACACACACTTTTATCCCCACTTCACAAATGTGCTCTGGAGATGCAGCCCCTCCTTCAGAGATGAGGAAATAACTCAGAGTGGCAGAGCAGGGATTAAAACCCACATCTGTCTGAGCCCTATAACAGAGCGGCCACTCATCAAATGGCCCCCGGTCTGACTCTCAGTTCTGGGTTAAGACCGAGGCTGGCAGGGGGAGACGTGTCCCTGACCCATCCCCAGAAGGCCTTACCTTTCTCAATCATTTCCTTCGTTTGAGGGTGAGGCATCTTGATAAACATGCTCCCGAAGCAAACCATCACATCTTCTGAAATGGCAAATGGTCACTCTTTCAACAAATATTTTTGAGCACTTAACTCTCTGCCAAGCATTGTTTTAGATGCTGAGAACACAGCAGAACAAGACAAAGTTTCTGCCCTCATTGGGCTTATGATAGAGTGGAGAAGAAGGAAGAAATAAGCAAAAATACGATAAGTATCTGGAGAAAAATAAAGCAGGGTAAGAGGGATGGGGAATGCCAGAGAAAGGGAGGACCTTGTTACTTTACCAGATGGTCTGACAAGGCTTTACTGATTATGTGACATTTGGGCAGAGACCTGAAGAAAGCGAGGCATGAGCCCTGCAGCCATCTGAGGAAAGAGTGAGCCAGGCAAAGGAAACAGGAACAGCAAAGACCAGTAATTTGCTTGGGGTGTTAGAACAGCAAGCAGACCAGTGTCAGACCTGTTAACATTTTCTCCCTCATCTCCACAGGCTGTGTCACACATGTGTAGCTTTTTGTCTCTATTAGGGACAAGTTGAAAGCCTTAGAAGGAAAACAACACACCTCCAGGGCTGCAGTGACAAAACCTTCACTTACCAGAGAGGCTGAGATCCTTCTGCAAGGCCCGCAGGCCCTCCCGGTTCTGATTTCTTTTGGTGTCCAGGTCCACAATCTGCAAAGCACAGGGGCAGGAGGGAACTCAGCTCCCTCTTGCCTCAAACCATCACCTCCCAACAGACCAGGGGCTGTTAAAACCCAACAGAGACAAGGCATCATTCCTGGGTTTCTTCCAATGTCACGCCTAAAACACACTCGTGTGTAAATGTATTTCTTCCCCTATTCAGTTTCCAGGTCTTTAAAGACAATGCTCTGTGAAGGTGTTCTCCCCACAGAGAAGGTGCTGGGGAAACGTTTGCTGATTAAATGGGTAATTCGTTATTATTCACTGGAGTGCTAATGCTTAAGCTTCAGGGCATTTCGGAATCACGAGGGGAGTAGAAACTTCTTCCTGGACAAGCTCCTCCAGCTGATTCTGACCTAGTATCACAAGCAGCCCAACAATACTAGACAGCAACAGCAGGGGTGGGGGGCACTGAGATGGTACTAACACCACAGAAGCTGCTAAGGAAGTAAGGAGGCAGAACAGTTTCTTGAGAGTGCTGGCTCTGGAGCCTCTGCAATCCTGCTGCCCGCTGCGAGCTGTGTAATTTCACCTTCTGAGAAATGGAGGTATGAATAGCACCTACCTCACACGTTACTGAGCCAGGAACTAAATGAGCTAGCATAGTATTTGATACACCGTAAGTGCCTGAGACATTTTAATTGCTACTTTATTATCATCCCGCATACCCTGATGCAGTGTTTAATTTAATGGGCACTTATCCAAGTCTTCCACTTTTCAGTAAATACCCTGCCAATCATTCACTTATTCTAACTGGTGATGAGGAGTCATGAATCATTCTTCACTCCTACTCCCTCACCTCCCATATGTAACCATCATCAAGGCCTACTAAATCCAACTCCAAAATATACCTCTGACCCATTCACTCGTCTCCATCACCACCACCCTGGCCCAAACCCATCCCTTGCAGGAACCTTGGCAGTGGCCGCTCACCCGCCCCTCGCCCCCCTACATTCTGTGCTCCACACAGCAGCCAGAAGAATCCTTTTAAAGCCTAAATCCAATAACATCATTCTCCCTCTCCCCATTAACTCCCTCCAAACACTTAGCACTTAAATTAGCACAAGACCCAGACTTCCTATGCAGGTGTACAAAGCGTCCCCACCTGCCCAATCTCAAGACTCCTCAGGCCTCTTTTCTCTTCCTCTTCTCCTGAGAGCCCTGGCGACGACAGTGCACCCACGGTCAGTGGGACGGGGCCTGAGGAGGAACTGCCTTTTGAAAAAGGTGTTCAGGTAAACCACCCAAAGAGGTAATGGCTCAGGATCCGGAGGGCACGGCGAGGGGCGGAGGAGGGAGACAGGGAATCCCTGGCACCGAGCAGGCGCTCATTTAGCACATACTAACGCGTGAAGCGCGGCATCGTGCCAGGTGTCTGGCCCACCTTGCCTCACCGGTGCCCCACGTCTGTGGTCACGGCCGTGTGCCCACCAGCCCACAGGGAACCCGCGCTGGAGCCGGATTCCGGGCCCCGCGCGCGGCCCTACGGCGCTCGCCGCCAGGCCCCAACTGCCGAACCCTGGCCCCAGCGCCGCGGACGGGCCTCCTACCTGCCGCTTGTCCGCCAGCACCTCCTCGGCGAGCTCTTCCACCTCCACCAGGTACCGCAGCACCCGCTCCGCCTCAGGTGATAGCATGGTACCGAGCAGCTCCGACTCAACCCAGATCAGCTGCGACACAGTTCAAACTCCGTTTGGGATCCGCTTCGGCTGCGCACGCGCACGGGCAGAGCTTCCGGCGCGCACGCGCAATTAAAAGAACAGTGGCGCGCAGGCTCCAACCCTCGAGCGTCCGCAGGACGCGAGAGGCGGGGCCTAGCTTTGGGGGCGGGACTGGAGCGCCCCCTGCAGACTCAGAGAGCATAGTCCACAGAGCTGCCTCTTAACTCCTCCCGCCTCCCTTCCGGTTTCTTGAGCACCTGCTAGGTGCCAGGCAGTTTTAGGTGCTGAGGGTGCAGCAGTGAACAAAACACAGTCCCTGTCCTCATGCAACTTCATCCTAGTGGGAAACACCGACAGTTCATGACAAAACAAGTGGTTACATACTATGGCGAGCAATGATAATTGTTTTGGAGTAATACAAATCATTCTTCCCCTGTTTAAGGAACACCAAGAAGGCCCATGTGTCAGTGTGACTTATATTTAACCTCTGACACCTTCAGTTTCCAATTTATAAAATCGGAGTGAATAAAAATCCCTCTCATTGTCTCTTTGCAGGATCAGAAGGAGGCAGGAATCATTTTTAAAATTCAGCTTTCGGGGCGCCTGGGTGGCTCAGTCGGTTAAGCATCTGCCTTCGGCTCAGGTCATGATCCCAGGGTCCTGGGATCGAGCCCCGCATCGGGCTCGCTGCCCCGCGGGGAGCCTGCTTCTCCCTTTGCCCCTCCCCTCCACTTGTGCTCTCTCTCTGGCTTGCTCTCTCTCTCTCAAATAAAATCTTTAAAAAAATAAAAAATAAAATTCAGCTTTCACCAGTATTCCTTGAGCCCCTGTCTTGGGCCCAATGTCCAGAGTAGTTGACCTAGACCCAAGGAAGGGGCTGGAAAACCACGTGCAGTGAGCGATGAGGTGCCAGCTCAGAAAAGAAGTTCTGTAAGTGCAAGAAAGCAAATCGGCGTGGGTCGTGGGATTTGGAAGGACCTCCAAGAAGAGGCATGCAGGAGGAATGTGGTTGTCCTTCAGAACAAGAAGGTTCCCTATAGATCTTCATGCCCAAACCCTTCATTGTACAGCTAAAAAAGCTGAGGCCCAGAGAGCAGTGAGGATCTTACAAAGTCAACAGCAGACCTGAGACTAGAATTCTGACTCTTGCCTCCCTAATTCCAGCTTTTTATTCTCCATTAGGTCCCTCGTAACCAAGCCCTTTCACATCCCTTGCCTTACTTGAATTTCACAATTTTTGTACTGCCCATTTCATAGCTGCAGACTGAGGCCAGGAGAAGAGCAATGCTTTGTCACACAGAAAGTCAGGAGTAAACGTGTGTCTAGAAGCATTCTGGTCTTCATACCACAGCTGTCTCTGGACCCTGGAAAAAAAATGCTCCCCCAGATTGTGGCCCCAGTAGCACTTCCTCTTTGCCTGGCCTTTGGCTTCCTTCAAGTGCCAGAGGCAGAGCTAATTTTCCCTTCAGCTGCCCTGCATGGGGAAAGAAGGAGATTCATTAAGGATTCCTCACTGAGGGTGAATTTGTCGCCAAACCCAAGATGTTTTGTGTAAACACCTTCTGGTTCAGAAACGCAGGCACAGGTCCTATGAAGGAAGGAGGAACTTTTGCCAAAGGAGAAACAGGGCCTACCAGGCATCCCTGGGGCCTAGACCCCAGGACTGGGTCTCTTCCACATGGGGGCCCAAAGAGGGCTAGACCAGGCTGACCCTTGACCCCTGCCAGATGGGCCTGGATGGGGAAGGGTTGAAATATGCTCCCAAATTGACTATGACTGTCCCCTAGAGAGCATCCTTGGCCACTGGAAGTATTGGGGAGGGAAGTCATGTGTTTCATCTATGTTTAGAACCATCTATTTCACAAATATTTATTGACTTCCCTGACTCTGTTATAGGGCTTCTGCCATGAGCAAAAACCAGACATGGTCTTTGCCCTCAGAAAGCTTCCAGTCTGGCAGGGGAGACAGATGATGAATACACGAACAAGTAAATATATCATATATGTCAGGTGGATAAATGCTATGGAAAACAACAGCACGGGACAAGGTAGAGAAGAACTGATGGAGGGGCTATTTGCAACAAGGTGGTCAGGGACGGCTTCTCTAAGAGGTTGCACTGGAGCAGAGATGTGGAATAGGTGAGGGATAAGCCATGTGAATGTCTGAGGGAAAAGTGTTCTGGGCAGAGGGAATAGCAAATTCAAAGGCCCTGAGATGAGGCTTTGTTTGGCAAATTGAAAGACTAGCAAGGCCTGTGTAGGTAGAACAGAATGAGCAAGGGGAAGAAGGTAGGAAATGAGGTCAGAAAGGGGAAGGAGGCATTAAACAGACGGTTCTACAGAGGGGGCTGTAGATGCCCCGCCCAAACCCATGAAGCCCTCCCTGGAGGTCAGCTGCAGACAATGGTGCACAAGCCTGTGGCTTCCTGCTTCTCTCCGCTCACAGATGCGAGTTGAGTTGGGGAATGCTGGTGAGTTAAGGCCCACAGGAGTGACCCTTAACCAAGAGGAGAGAAGAGTTAGTGACTGCATATCCCAGCTTCTTTGCCCCTCTGTGGGAGACCCAAGAGGAGGCTGCCACAACCATCCAAGTAAGAGGGGATGGTCACTGCACCAGGGAGTAGCAGTGGGGGTAGCAGGCAATGGGGGGTGTCTCAGGGCCTTTGCACTCACTCCTCCATTAGCTTGGATTAATTTTCTCATGCACCTTTGTACCTGTGTCCAGGTACACCTCCACTTATCAGCTTGGTGTCACATCTTCCCAAGGGTCACGAGTCTCCTCTAGGCCCACACAGCTTCCCCAGCTTCCCCGATCTGCTATCTTTTTCTCCAATCATCTCCCTCTCCAGCCATAAGCTCGAGGGCAGAAACCATATCTGTCTTGTTCGCTGCTGTGTCTCTAGAACTTAGAATGGTGTCTGGCACACAGTGGGTGCTCAGCCAATGTTTACGGAATGAAGGAGTAGACTCAACATGAAGCAGAACTTTCTAAAATCCAAAGTATTCAAAGATGAGCGGAGCTAACTCAAGGGTAACTAGTTCGAATCCCAGAAGGAAGCCTAGACTGCCACATGGTCAGGATATTGCAGAGATGTATCCCTCTGCAGCCTCGGGTGGGGGTTTGGGGATGGGGGGGCCTGGGAGGGTGATCCCTAACCAGAAAAATCCTGCCTGGTCACACTGGGCACACCCCCAATCTTTAGCCACCCTAAGCCCAGGCCAAAAGGGAATGGCTGCTGGGACTTGGGTGTTTGGGGACTGGAGCCAACAAGGGCAATGCTGTACCCATCCCCCTAGAATCCCCTTTTACTGTGTGCCATCTTTGGGTATGCGTTCAGTGACCAGCATTTGCTTCTCTCCTTAGGGAGGATGGCCCACAGGCTGCTGGAGCTTCCTGGGGTGACTTACCTTCCCCCTAAGCTATAACACATTATTTCAGAGATATGAAAGCCCACCTTCCTTGCCTGGGATGCTGGTGCGGGTGTGGATGGATAACTCAGGTATAACTTACACCTCACAGTCCCCCCGTGGGATCAGGCTGAAGCTGCCATCCGCATGACATCTGCAAGGCCTGCTTGGCTTCCTCTCCTTTCCTGTCCTGCCTCCCCCACTCCCTATGGTCAAAACCCCCCAAAACTCCCATCTTACTCTGTAAAAGGCAAACTCTTTGCCGGGGCCCACAAGAACCTGCCTGCCCTGCCCTGCCGCTCTGAGGCACTTCCCACCTCTCTCCTCACTGTTTCCCTCAGCCCTCATGTCCGCTTGTCTCCCTCCTTCACTTGCTACAAGTCTTGGCTTAAATTTCACCTTCTCAATGAGACCGACCCTGACCACTCTACTGCATTTAAAAGTGTAAACCCTGCTCCTCCCTGTACTCTGATCAACTTCCTCTGCTCTACTTTTTCTCCTTTTTTTCATAGCATTTGTTACTTTCCAGTGTGTTATGTAATTAACTTACTTATTTACTGTTAATCTCCCTCTGCTAGAAAGGAAGGTCCACAAGAGCAGGAATCTTTGTCTCATTTGTCACTGATGTATCTCAAATGCCTAGAACAGTGCCTGGTGCACAGTAGGTGGTCAATAGACATTTTTGAATGAATGAATGAAGAAAAGAGCCAGAACTCTAACCGGGCAGATTCTCTTTGATGCCAGGCTCTTAACCACTATGCTGGAGGTGGGCGGTGGGAGTGGCAGATCATGCCAGGACTTGTTGGCTAAGGTAAGGGGATTGGATTTCGTTCATAGATCCGTGAGAAGCTACTGGAAGGTTTTGAGGAAGTATGGGACACGATGGAGTTTACTTTGTGAAAGCACTCTCTGGCTGTGGGGCTAGGATGAGTGAAAAGGGAGGGTACAGCCCCGGGAGTGGGGTGTTAAGGGTGGGAGAGTGATGATGGAGGCTTGGAGAGGCAGCAGGACCGTGGCTCCACTGGGGCTGGGAGCAACAAGAAGCCCGCTCAACATCCCAATTCTCCAGGCAGCCTGGGTGGTTGCCTCACGGGCTCTGGCCTGTGAGTAGTCCAGGCCGGGCCTCCCAGCTGCTGACAACGTGCCCCTGTCCCACAGATGGACTGTTTGCTCTCCTGGGTGGTCCCCAGGCCCTCCCTCTGCTTCCTTTGCGCCCTTGTGGGCTTAGCAGGTGGAGGGGAGGGCTCCCCTCCTTCTCCTCCCCTGACCCAGAGAATAATCCTTATATTCATTCGCTCTTCCTCTGTGCCCTCACTTCATCCTCCCACACCCCCAGTAACACAGAAACCTGATTCCCGTAGGGCAGATGAAGACACTGAGGCCCGGAAAGGGGATGGGACCCTCCTGAGGTCATGCAGCCAGATGGGGACGCCAGGTGGGGACCTGTCTTCCAACTCCCCTTGCCCCGATTTCATCAGGCAACAGATGGTCCCATGGCTTGACTTGAAAAATCTTAAGTGACCTCAAAGAGAATGCAAGGCCAGAAAATTCCAGGCCTCCCTGCACTGGCCTTTACTACTACCTTGAATACTAAATCTATTCATTTTAAATTCCAGGAATAGATTCTTCTTACCAAGAATGAAAACATTACAGAAAAGACTCAAG